CATGCATACACTTTGATGCAATAATTCTACCTCTGTGATTTTAATTCGAACAGTTAAAAGTATCACAATGCTGCTCATGAAAACTTTAAAACATAAAGCACTATCTGTAATGATTTAACATACACATAATTATATAACCATAGAATAATGTACAATTCATTTCTTATTAACTTGATAGAATATTCAAGTGGCAAGACCAAATTACAGAAGAATATATATCATATGAACATTCCTACATGCAGGTTAAAAAGCATGGGAAAGAATCATAACTATTAACAATGATCATGTACAGTTTGAGGTGGTAGGGAACGGATTAGGGGAGCAGTTTTTTTAAAAATATTTATTGTAAAATACTCTCCTCACATTAAACTAGTAAGTTTCTAATTTTCTAATATAAGGAAATTATGCTCATTCAAAAAGCTTTATGAAATGATTTAAAAGTAGTTTTTCATTGTAATTTTTAATCAAAGTAAAATAAATTATCCCCCAAATATAGACTATGGTCACGCCACATCTCTGGCAAATCTGTTGCTGCCATCTTCTGGAACTTGGTTACTAATGCATGCCATGAGATTGCTTTCCCCTTCTGGAAAATGCTTCTCAGAGGAGACAAAGTCAGAATATCTATATTCTTATATGAATGCAACGTGAAACCAAAATTAGATTTTTTTCATTGAGTTGAATAATTTGTTTATTCACATTAGCCTAAGCTGGCCCCTGGACTTTACTTGGGAATGCAGAAAGGAATGTCTTACAATGAAATTCCCACCAACTACTGCATGGGCTGGATTTTTCTTCCACAAAAAAATTAAAAAGCAAACAATGACATAAGATAAAATACAATGATTTGAATAGACAGTAACAAGCAAATAAGCAGTTTTTCTTTTCTATTCTGAAATCAGATTGTGTTAAAGGGAAGATGGGCAAAGAAAGAACGCACAAAGCAGTTCCAGAAAGGTGGATAAAAGGCAGTCACGCATGGAAGAAACGATGCATAGAAATACCTATTCAGTGTGTGCTACTCTATCAGGACAGGAATAAAGCAGTAGATCAACTTCTTACCTAAGAATGATGTGCTTCCATAAATGTAAGCTTTTGTGGGGGCCGGCACTATGGTGTAGTGGGTAAAGCTCCTCTGCAGTGCCGGCATCCCATATGGATGCTGGTTCAAGTCCCAGCTGCTCCACTTCAGATCCAGCTCTCTGCTATGGCCGGGAAAGCAGTAGATGTCCCGAGGCCTTGACCCTTGCACCTGCATTGGAGACCTGGAGGAAGTTCCTGGCTCCTGGCTTCAGATCAGCACAGCTCTGGCCATTGCAGCCAATTGGGGAGTGAACCAACAGATAGAAGCCTCTCTTTCTCTCTCTCTCTCTCTCTCTCTCTCTTCCCCCCTCCCCCTCTCCCCCTCTCTCCCTCTCTCCCTCTCTCCCTCTCCTTCTCTCTATATATAACTCTGACTTGCAAATAAGTAAATCTTTAAAAAAAAAGAATTTTTTATTATTTATTTATTTGCACACATTTCATAAATACAAATAAAGATTGCTTAAAACATCAATGACATAATGAAGGTTTCATACCCCATCCTGTCTGGGACATTTTCAGGTGAAAGTAAAATTATTTCAAACATACTTGGGTCTCCAGATGTTACTGGAACTCTCTGTTCGCCTTCACCATTAACTTCTGGAAAGAATATTGGACACTCTAATTTCCTACTTCCTTATCTCCCGTTCACATGTAGACTTAGTGCAATCATTCTTCTTCTTTCTCACCCAGTTGAGTCTGGTAAATGTTTGGCTTTTGCAGGGTGGGGTTGGGGAGGGAGTGAATGTAGCATTTGCCAATCTCAAACAATTTCCACCATGTCTTATCTAAAGCCATCACAAGGATGTGGCTGGGTGCAGAGTTGGGACTAGATGTGCACAGGCAGGTAGCTACAAGCTGCAGCACACCACCTCTGATATCTCTGTTGAAACTGTTGTTATCTAAGCACAGGACAGACCCCACCGACTTCCTATCACCAAAGGAAGTCGCATCTCTTATCTACCTGATGAATAGCCAGCATTGGCACCCCCATATCTGTGAACATTCTCCTCTGTTGTTTCTCTTCCCATTTCTCTGGCTGTCACTTGTCCTCTGCTGTCTAAAACCCACAGGCACATCTGGTCAATGTATACCAGGCTTCCATCCTCCACTCCCTTCTAAATTCATTCTCATAATCTCGGTCTTGCTCTATCCCCACATACCACAGATATCTCAAACACAGCGAGGCCAAAGTCAGCACTGAGCTGCTGGTCCTCTCCTCTTTTCATTGCCCAGAACACACACCGTTATTTAATTCAATCATATTACTTAAAATATGGTCATGTTGTATCTCCTGGGTGTACCTTTCTTCTAGGTTAGCCCACCCCTGCCTGCCACACTCCACCAGTTCATCTTCGAATGGTCAAAACTCCCTGTCTTTAGCATAATCTGATCATTACATTTCCTGGTTTCCCCATTTTCCCTACAGACTACATTATTAACTCTAAGGCCCATGGTGGACCCTGCTTTCCTGCCATGCATAGCAAGCAGCAACAGAAGTAAGTTATATTATGATAAAGGTACTGCCTGTTTTTTCCCGTCCTGAGCACCAGATTCTTGATTGAAAAATAAATACAGCATACATGGTTGTATTAATTTCTATTGTTGACATAGCATGTTACCACAAATTTAATGATAACCAACAATGCTCATTTTTCCCCCTTATAGTTCTGGAGCTCAGAAGTCTGAAATAGGTGGGCAGGATCATATTGCTTCCAGAGGCTTTAGGGAAGAATCCGTCTCCCAGTGTTTTCCAGTTTCTAAAACGCTGCCTGGATTGTTTTTGCCACAGCCCCACATCACCCAACCTCTGCTTCCATTGCTGGCACAACTCCTCTCTCTTACCCTCCTGCTCAGGTAACATTGGATAATCTCCCTATTTTGAAATCTTTAATCACATCCACAAAATCCCTTTTGACGTCTAAGGTAACAAGGTTGTAGGTCCTGAGGATTAGGGTATGGAAGTTTCTTGAAGGCCCACAACAGAGTTTAGTGAAGAGCAGTGGCTCCATCATAGCTTGCCTGGATCCAAATCCTGGTTGTGTGTATTAATAGCTAGAATATCTTGGGAGGATAATTAATTTTTCTGTACCTTCCTTATCTTACCCATAAAACATGGATATAAAAAGTACAAATTTCACAAGATTTAAAAAAAAGGACAAAAAATAATAAAAGTACAAAGAAATATACCGGACCCACTACTGTTAGCCTTGTGCAGGTAGCAGAGGTCATGTCCAACCAAGTCCCATTTCTACTTACAAAAAATCTGTATGGCATCTAATTAAGGATGTTGCCCTGATAACAAAACCATATTGTTCTGAATGACACATTCTGAGTTAGAATGGGGAATCACATCTCTGGTGCTGTGTAATAAGTCTGTCTCTACACAATAGCCAAAAAAAAATGTACATGGTTACATTTGAGTAGCAATGCCCAGGTCTCCCTCACTCATCAGAATACATTTTTAACCAGAACAGTAATCAAGATCCTGATGTCTCCCTGCTGAGAACTCCTTGCTGACAGATGTTCTCCTCTGGCACTGGTATTGGTCAATGCACCAGTCTGCATGGGCACTTCTGCTTGCTAGAAGTCATGGTCTCTGTTAACTGACATCCATGAGGTCTTTCTTTTTGCAGGGCACTTTGGGAAATCCTAGGTTGGGGCCTTATTTATTCAATCAATGCTGGATATGGCTACAAACAATCCATATCTCTCTTTAATTTTTATCTAATCTCAGACTTACTGGCCAGCCATGGGACAGTAAACAACTTGCCTGCTGAGTTTAGGGAAGGGAACTTGTGAACAGATTCATGTCTCAGTTGCTTCTAGATCTCCTCCCTCAGCCCCAATCCCTTGTCCAGTGGGCAGCAGAAGCTGAGGACCACCTGCTTCTCCCTGGAACACGGATTTGAGGCACCAATGCTCAATCCCTTAAAACATCTTTGGGCTACGCTCTGTATTCACAGCCTCCTCATACTGATTTATTAACTCTATATCTCAATGTTGATTTGTTTATGCATAACTGTTGAATAGTGAATTATTAATAGATCGTAGAAACCTGGGTTAAAATACCAGGTATAAGTGTAACTGCTAGTCAATGAATTCATTTGGACAAGTTAACGAGGATTGCACTCAATAAATTAAAAATAGTAAAACAATATGTTCTTTTACCTTTAACTTCCATGTTATTTTAGTTAGTGTTTTTGGTTTTTATTTATTTTAAGGGTTACTTATATTAACTGTGATGCAGATGCGAATTTGACTTTAGCAGCATAAAGCCCTTCATTTTATTAGATTGTCGTCTTTGCTGACTTCACTTTAAATGGATAATTCACTGAGTATGCCAAGGCCGGGAGCTGTGCATTAAAGCAAGATGGGAAATGAACTTTCAACTCGTTCCACAAGGAATGACTTCCGTGCAGGCCCCCTGTGGCTCAGCTGCATGAGAACCAAAGACTGGATCCAAGTGCAGGCACTCTTCCAAGCCGTCCAGCTGCAGTATCTCATGCCACACTCAGTCTTTTAAGGTGGGCAATATCGTTATCTTCAACAACTTGCACCACAGCCGCAGGTGCTGAGCAGGGACGCCAGGCACTCAGCCATGCAGCTTGTCTCTGCAAACTTCGTACGTGACATTTATTCGGTCCCATCCACTGGCACGCTGAGTCACAGAACTTCCGGTGCTAAAGGCGGCAGAACCGTGAATGCGCTTTGGCTCACGCAAACGCTCTCGGACCCTGGAGGGAGCTGGGCGGGGGCTGTCTCCTAGGCAACCGCAGAAGCACCCCTCCCCCTGGACGCAGAACGGTGACGTCACTTTCTTAGTGCGGCTGGAGGGCGGAGTTGGGTACCCAGGAGACCCGTTGGTGGGGAAGTCACTTCCTGCCGGAGACGCTGTTTCCTAGCAACGGCCTCCCACCTCCGTTTTTAGTCCCGCCCCCTCGGTCAGTCGGGCGCTCGGTGTCCGAGCGCTGCTAGGCCTGGCCGCCGCGAGAGGCTCGCGCCGGAGGCCGTGCGCTCGGTTCTGGGGAGCCCGCCGCAGGAGTGGCGGGGGATCACGGGGCGGTGACTGCGCCGGGGTATGCGGGGGCCTGTCGTGTGCTGGGTTCCGGACGCCCTGAGGAGCTGGCGGGGACCCGGGCGCTCCGGGCTCTGCGGTGAGCGGCCGTCCAGGTGCGCGCTGCTGCGGGTGGCGGGCGCGGCCGAGGCCCGGCCTTTCCTCAAATAGAGACTTTTAAGACAGCCCATTGCGGAAACTTCCTTTTGCTTGATTTGGCTTTGTTTGCACTGTTGTGAGGGGCAAAGTGCTTGGAAAAATATCGCTGTTCGTGTTCTAACGTTACGATCTTTTCCTTTGAATAGAGCAGTGTGCAAGCTGTGTGTGTGTGTGTGTGTGTGTGTGCACTTACACCTTTTACCCTGCCAGCCCTCCAGGCGCGGTCGGTTTGTACGCAGTGTTAACACTTTTGGAATAGAAGTGAAAAGTAAGGTGTATATTAACGGGCAGCATTTTGCTCAGCTTTAAATAACCGTAAAGCTGTTTTAGGGTAAAGTCTTCCTGAATTTTCGTTTTTGAAAACAAGCTGCTTGTGAGGATCTGGTATTTCTTTGCAAGAACACTTATGTTTTTAGGAGAAGATGTAGCTCCGTGTTCGTGCGATGTTGGCTCGGCTTGGCTCCTGGGGGGAGGCACGCACTGCAGTGGGAATTCTCAAGTGTGCGAAGAAGTCTGATTTGCTCTTTTGTGTATTTCAGCCACTTTCAGAGCTTGGACTATTCCAGTTATTTATTAGCTGTTGTATAAAGGTAAAAGGCAACACGATGTCTGACGAAGTTTTTAGCACAACTTTGGCTTATACAAAGAGTCCAAAAGTTACCAAAAGAACTACATTCCAGGTAAAGTATTCCAAACATCTTCATTTTCAGTGTTTTTACAACTTAAACGCTGTATCAGGAAGGTAGGAAGTGGTGATGTACAATCAGTCCTATATAAGGATGAGCAAACCTTACATTCCTTTGAGCTTTTGCTGACGGTCATGTTGGGGCTCCAGGATTATTTAAACGACTACTCAGGTAGCCTCATTATGAAGTTCTTACTAAGTTCAAAGTTAAACGAGTTGTAATTATTCATTTGAGTAGCAGAGAGACAGAGTTCCCATCAGCTGATTCATTTCCAGGATGACAGCAACAGTCAGGTGTGGGCCAGGCTGAAGCCTAGAGCCAGGAACTCACTCTAGATCTTCCATAGCAGTGACAGGGACCCAACTCCCTGAACCATCCATCACCTTCTGCCTACCAGGAGCACATTAGCAGGTATCTGGATTCAGCAGTGGGGCTGATACTGGCCCAAGCACTCCTCCTATATAGATGCAGGCATCCCCACCTGCATCTTAACTGCCAGGTGTAGCTTTAAATGGCTACTTTCCTGTAAACATTTTGTGTTTTTTCCTGTTGTAACATAAAAACATTTAAATTGTCTATGTTGTGTCTACAGTTCTGAACTCAGGCGCCAAAGGTATTGATTGCCTCCATTTCAGGAATGTGCCAAAATAAAAATGTTTTAAAAATACTAGTTTCAGGGCAGGTATTGGAGCAGCAGGTTAAGCCGCTGTTGAGACACCTGTGTCCTATATTAGAGTGCCTGGTTGAGTCCAGGCCACTCTGCTTCTGGTTCAGATTCCTGCTAATGTGCACACTAGCAGGCAGCAGGTGAGGGCCCAAGTACTTGGGTTCTTGCCACCCACATGAGAGACCTAGATGATGTTCCTGGCTCTTGGCTTCAGCCTGGCCCAGCCTTGGTTGTCTCAGGCATTTGAGGAGTATGAATCAGAGGATGGACTATCTCTTTCTCTGTTTCCCTCCTCACCCCTCTGCTTCTGTCACTTTGCTTTTGAAGTAAATAAATTATCTTTCAAAAAAGCACCAATTTCTTTCAAAATGCCAATTTCTAATAAATTTTGTCTAAATTGAGTTTGGTTTCTTACCTTCCAGCTTGAATTACCCTTATAACCTGCAATTAATGTATTTGATAGTGTCCGTCTCCTCCATTTTAATTGCAGGCTCTGTTAGGAAGGTCTCTTGTCTGTGACATAGCACACTGAATCTCAGGGCGCAGGTGCATGGCACAAAATAGGCTTCCAATGCATGTTTATTAGATAAATGGAACCTCCCTTTGAAAGCAGTTATTAAAAAAGTATTATTCATTTAAAACTTATAAATATGAGACCTCCACATTTGGGCAGGAGTTGATTTTAATTGTTTTCTTTCAGGATGAGCTAATAAGAGCAATTACAGCTCGCTCGGCCAGGCAGAGGAGCTCTGAGTACTCCGAGGACTTTGACAGTGATGAGATTGGTATGGAGAAGTAAACCGCGTTTCTTTTTTTTACTTCCTTACTTCTTTAGCAACCCATCGTCACTTTACGCTAACATATTACCCATGGATTAGATTGGTTTTAGATTTCAACCTTTTGATTAGTAGAAAGCAAGTCTTATCTTCAAGAATTTGTCTTAAGTGTCTCTTGTTTGAATTATAAATTAACTGACAACACGTATGCTAATAAAAGAGGGCTATCCTTTTGGAGTTGGAGAAAGTTTTATGTTTAAGGTTCACAACCCTACAGCTGGTTGGTAACCAAGGACCACAGAACTACTTTGGTGCATATGGGAAGCACTTTTGTAATGCTTGTCATACATCACGTTTTTTTATCTGTAGTTGAGGGTCGGTGTAAAAAACAGATCCTTCACATTGCATATATTACTAGCATCTTAATTTAATTTAGTTATTTAAACTTATTTTAGGTTTTAAATATAGGCACACAAAATTCTGAACTTTTAATTCAGTTTTCTATTCTTTACTGTGCACTGGGAGACTTTTAATGTTCTCTGTAACAAACAAGCAATCAAAATAATAATTAAATCACTGCTATGTTGTAAGGTTAGGATATTCTTTAGTTGTTCTTTTTTTTTTTTGACAGGTAGAGTTATAGACAGTGAGAAAGGTCTAACTTCCGTTGATTCACTCCCCAAATAGCCGCTACGGCCGGTGCTGCACCGATCCGAATCCAGGAGCCGGGTGCTTCCTCCCGGTCTCCCATGTGGTTGCAGTGACCCAAGCACTTTGGCCATCCTCCGCTGCCTTCCCGGGCCACAGCAGAGAGCTGGACTGCAAGAGGAGAAGCTGGAACTAGAACCCAGTGCCCCAACTGTGACTAGAACCCAGGGTGCCAGTGCCGCAGGCGGAGGATTAGCCAAGTGAGCCACGGCACCAGCCTAGTTGTTCTGTTAAAAATAATATGTAGTTTTGTGGACAGAACTGTAGTTCCAAAATATTTATGGGGGAAAAAAAAAGCTAGTTAAATTATTCCATTGACAGTTGCTGTTGATTTTATACAGAGTCATTTGCAAAGAAAGTTTTATACTCCAAACTTTGGTTGAAATGTCCCACTGCTGACAGTTATTTTGAGGAGTTTTTGGTGGTGGTTCCCAGGGCAAGTACTGTACTTGGCACTGATTGATTTTGAGTAAATCAGTGAAATGGAATTTTTACTTTATATGTGTCAATAAAAGCTGCCTATATTAGGTATTTTGAAGAGCTGCAAAATAGATTTGCACCCATTCATGATGTATGTTTTTCCAGTCATTTCTGTTCTTTAATCTTTTTTGGTTCATGCAACCTTTAAAACTAAAATATACTATTGAAAATGCTTTTTTTTTTGCGTTTTTCAGTTTCTTTGGGGGATTTTTCTGATACCTCAGTAGATGAAAATTCAATTAAGAAGAAAATGAATGATTTTCATATATCAGATGATGAAGAAAAGAGTGCTCCAAGACTGACTTTTTTGAAAACCAAGAAATCAAGCAATGACCTAATCAAAGATAAGCCAGAATTGACCATCAAGAATGATGAGGAAATGGCACCCAATGGTTGTGAAGACATAGTCGTAAATTCCTCATCTGAATCTCAAAGTAAAGGCCAAGAAATTGAGAAAGACAAAATTAAACTGAAACCCAAACCCAGAATTCTTCCAGTGAAAAGCACATCTTCAGGTAATTTGTTGGTTAGCTATAATTGCACTTCTTGAAAACTATTTTGAGATAATCCGCACAAAATACTCTTGTATCTAGTATATGTTTAAGGGGGAAAAGCCATCAGATCTAACTTTTTAATTTTATATATATAAAGCAAAATAATAGACCCCTAGAGGAAACCTGTAGTTAGGCTTTCTGGCTGTGTTATCAGTCTCGCATCTTGCTGCTGCTGGAAAGAAAGCCAGAGCACCTTCATCCAGAAGCTACAGCTGCCAAAATCCCACACCAGTGAGCTTGAGTTTTGCTTTTTTAGGGACAGATGTGCAATGTAATCCTTTCTAAGCCCCTCGGACTCCAGAGATTAGAGCTAAAACAGCATTGGAACTAATCCTGAAAACAGTCATTCCCATATCAACATTTTGCCAGAAAATTTTTTTGACGTTTGTGTACTTGAAGGGACAGTTTTGTTGTTGCTTTCCCCACTGTTTCCCTGAGTGCTAGGCACAGAGGAGCAAAGGTAGAATGGAGCAAGGACCAACCTCTTTAATGACTCCCAGGCCACCACACAAGAAGTTGTGCAGGCAGTGTTAAAGACTTGGTGTCTTCCAGTTTTGTTGCTTTCTGTTTTATAGAGGAAATATTCATTGATGCTAACTTCATAAAAATGTCTTTGTTTTATATCATCAGTAGATACAATGCTGGCCAATAGTTCACACATTGTACGTTCATTGTATAGTTCACATGTTAACACTGATAACATCAGAGAACATTTTAGCTATGTGTTAAGAAGCAGCTCCTTCCTCCCCCTGCCCCCAATCCCATTAACTTTGAAATGATGAAAAGATATAAGCAAAGAACACTAGAAAATGTGTCCAGGACATTGGAAGACAAGTCATTGTTTATTAGTTATATATAACATCAGCAAATACATGAAACTTTACCGTATTCATATGAAAGAAGATGTCGCCTACTCTTCCTGTTCTTCAGAGCTGTGTTGAGAATATACTGAATTGTGTTTCATAAACACTACACGAACGCAAGCAGAAGACAAAAAGAAGCAGAATTAGCTTCTAAATTCTACCTTTGCAGCATAGTGAGTGGAATCAAAGATAGAGAGGAAGGAAACATAATTGAAATTTATTAAGGAAATGTGGGCCAGTGTTGTGGTACAGTAAGTTAAGTCCCCTCTTGTGATGCCAGCATCCCATGTAGGCAATGCCAGTTCAGGTCCAGGATGCTGTGCTTCTGATGCAGCTCCCTGCTAATGGGCCTGTGAAAGCAGCAGAAGATGGGCCAAGTACTTCAGCACCAGAAACCCATGTGTGAGGCCTGGATGGAATTCCATGCCCCTGGCTTCAGCCTGGTCTAGACATGGTTGTTGTGGCCATTTTTGGATAGAACCAATAGCCAAGAGATCTCCATCTCTTCTCTCTCCCTTCCCCTCTTTCTCTCTCTTTTTCTCTCTTTGTCTGCATTTAAACAGAAGTAAAGAAAAAGGAAAATGTCAGCATATAACAGCTAGAAATTGGTCGTAGACATATGGAAATATAGAATTAGAAATTTATGGTATCTAGGAGCCAGCGCTGTGGTGCAGTTGGCTAATCTTCTGCCTGCAGCACTGGCATCCCTTTGGGGTGCCAGTTCTAGTCCCGCTGCTCCTCTTTTAATCCAGCTCTCTGCTATGACCTGGGAAAGCAGTGGAAGATGGCCCAAGTGCTTAGGCTCATGCACCTGCATGGGAGACCCAGAAGAAGCTCCTGGCAGCTGGCTTTGGATCAGCCTAGCTCTGGCTGTTGTGGCCATTTGGGGAGTGAATCAGCGGATGGAAGACCTTTCTCTCTGTCTCCCTCTCACTGTCTGTATCGCTGCCTCTCAATTAAATAAATAAATTTTTTTTTTTTTTTGACAGGCAGAGTGGACAGTGAGAGAGAGAGACAGAGAGAAAGGTCTTCCTTTGCCGTTGGTTCACCCTCCAATGGCCGCCGCGGCTGGCGCGCTGTGGCCGGCACACCGCGCTGATCTGATGGCAGGAGCCAGGAGCCAGGTGCTTTTCCTGGTCTCCCATGGGGTGCAGGGCCCAAGCACCTGGGCCATCCTCCACTGCACTCCCTGGCCACAGCAGAGGGCTGGCCTGGAAGAGGGGCAACCGGGACAGAATCCGGCGCCCCGACCGGGACTAGAACCTGGTGTGCCGGCGCCACTAGGCGGAGGATTAGCCTAGTGAGCCGCGGTGCCGGCTGGTAAAAATATTTTTTAAAAAAGAAATTTATGGTAGATAAAAAGCTATGGTAAACTAAAATGAATATGGAAATACTTAAACCACAAAGTGGCAGCAAAACTCTAACTGATCCACTTAGGGGTGTGTACACACACACATACCACTTGTATATCTGCACATGTAATATAATTACCAATATAGGTAATATTATATGTTTGATTATAAAACAAAGTTTGAAAAAAGTATTTGGGCATTTGTTTTATTTCTGAGAACTTGACAATACTTCTCGAAGTGGAGTTTTGGTATACATTATATTAAAGTCGTTAACCCTCAGGTTCTTCAAATTGAAAAATGAAAATTGAGGTTAGTGGTCTTTAGATAACACCCGGTATATCAGATTCATTAAGGATCTGATGAATAATTCATTTATGAAAGAATTAATGTGGTTTACAAATATAGTTTTATACTCTAAATTCTTAGATTTTTTTTTTCATGTCGTATAAGATCCTTCTGAGTAGCAAATAATGCTTTATTTATTTATTTGGAAGGCACAAGGACAGAGATAGACAGAGAGAGAGAGAGAGAGAGAGAGAGAGAGAGAGATGCAGAGATCCCCCATCTGCTGATTGACCATTAAAACAGTAGAACTTGAAAATGTTCATTCTGCCTGCTTGTCTTTTGTAAAAAGTGCAATAACCAGACTCCTTCAATTTGTAGAGCAAGTGTCACTTGGGTGGTGATTGCAGGAAATATTTTCTGCAGGCTAAGTTGTTTTAGTTTTAATATTAATGTCACCAGAGTTGTGGTCTTTGCAGTCAGGTGCTTGTGCTTTAACCCCAGAACTGTAACTTCCTAGGTTTGTGACCTTGGATACAAGACCTCTTCTTCAGTTTATTCATCTATGAAATAACTTAACAGTTGAAATACCTCTAGGAGATAAATGACTTCATGTATTTGAAGTGCTTATAACAGTTCTGGCATGAATTAAGCATTTTATAAATACATCTTTTACTCATTTTGATATTTAGTATTTGTTCATAAACAGATTGTTTCATTTATCCACAAATATTTATTTTGATTACCACTGTAGTATGTTACAAGCACTGTGATGATAGAAAAGAATACAACAATAAAGATGTAGCACAGTCATCCAAGACTTAATTTAGTCAGGATGTGTTCGAAAGGTATGATAAACCAATTTTACACATAAAGTTAAGACAAAAATATAGAAATGATAAGCTTCCATCAACATATTGAGAGATGGAAATACATTAGTTCTTATTTTAAAGTTAGAAATAAATAGTAACTTTAATTTAAATATCTGCTAGAGAAGTCTTATGAATGCAGTTATATTCACAAATTATCTAGTTCTACATTTCTTCCTCCATTGTAAAGGGGCACTTCTGTCCCCTGTGTGCCAACTTCACCATCTTCTAATTTGTAACAGGCTTTGGCTTATAATTTTGTTTATTGAGAATCATCTCCTTTTCCAACCTGTAGAGTCCTTGTACAGGGCCTGCTATCAGGTACTCAGTAAAGGTTTAGGGAACCTCCTCATTTTATACAGGTAGACCAAGGGAAGGTATCATTTTGTTTTTGTTTTCTTAAATATCTAGAATACAATGAAGATCATGAAGTTGAAGAGTTAGGATTTCATAAACAAGTACATTATACTAAAGTATATATATTAGCTGCTTTCAGGATGGCAAATATCTTTTTATTTTGGTTAAGAGCTGTCATTTAATTGCGCTTTATGTGAGCTCTGGGTAGACAAGGATTGTGGCATTCCTATGCACTCTCCAGGACAGAGAGACAAGGGCGAGAACAGAATGGAAGTAGGGAGGCCACCTGGGGGTAGTTGAAGCCATGGGCTTTGTTTGATACACTGGACTTACAGCATTTTATCTTTCAGCAGAAAACAACAGCAGCCTTGAAACAGATGACCACTTGAAACCTTTACCTCGGCCAAGGAGCATGTTAAAAAAGAATAGCTACAGGGAACAGAAAGATAGACTGGAAGAAAAAGAAATCTCTCCCAGTCAAGAACCACAGGTACAGTCTGCACCTTCTTCCCCTACGAGGCCAAATGGCACAGAATTAGAAGCTGAGAAGAAAGAGGAAAATGATCATCCTGAGGTTAGTACTACTTCTTTGTGTTCTTGAATTTAAGCCTTTGCATCTGATTGTGTGTGTGTGTGTGTGTGTGTGTGTGAGAGAGAGGCAATTTGTGTTTGTGTTTTTACATGGTTTTTTTTGTTTGTTTGTTTGTTTTTTTTTAAACAGGCAGAGTGGACAGTGAGAGAGAGAGACAGAGAGAAAGGTCTTCCTTTGCCATTGGTTCACCCTCCAATGGCCGCCGCGGCTGGCGCGCTGTGGCCGGCGCACTGCGCTGATCCGATGGCAGGAGCCAGGAGCCAGGTGCTTATCCTGGTCTCCCATGGGGTGCAGGGCCCAAGCACCTGGGCCATCCTCCACTGCACTCCCTGGCCACAGCAGAGAGCTGGCCTGGAAGAGGGGCAACCGGGACAGAATCCGGCGCCCCAACCAGGACTAGAACCTGGTGTGCTGGCGCCGCTAGGCGGAGGATTAGCCTAGTGAGCCATGGCGCTGGCCCGTTTTTACATGTTTTCTTTTGCAATTGATATGGAAATGGTTTCAAATTTAAAAAAAATCAATATCCAATTAAACTATGGCATACCAGTGATTATAAGATACATCCAATTTCAGGGAAAGTACGATGTAGAAAAAAGATGTTTCTCTTTAGAATCTATATGATACTACAATTTTCAGTTGCAATCTATTTTTAATTTACATATTTTTAAATTATGTAATTTATGGGTACAGATAATATAGCTAGTATCACTTTATTCATCTGGTTTACTTGACTCAACAGATATGTATTTAATGTTTATGACACTATTTTATTTTATTTGAATATACCAAAATGGAATTGAATATGACCCTTGACATTTCTGTCAGGGGATTTACATCTTGTTCTTAAAGGATAACACCTAGTCCCCTCTCTATATTCCACTGTGGGAAGCAGACTTCCAGCTCATATTTCACATGAGGAAAGTATGAGAGGAACATTCTTCTACCACAATCCGTGTGGGGGCATCAGGATAACTGGGCTTGGTGTGGAAGGATCTGCTCCCTGGGAGGTGATACAAAAGGGGCCACAAGGAGCTCCTTTGTACTGTGGCTGAATGCATGAATTCCTGCAATTTGGACCTGAACTGTTGGGAAGCACAATAGGCAACTCATTCAAATCTTCTGCTGCTTTCCCAGTAAAGCAAACAATTTGACTGACTCCTCTGTGCTCTTTGTAACTTGTTCAGAAAATTGGGGCAGGGAGGGGGAGAAACCCAAACAGTTAACTTTATGTATGATACATACTTTATGTATGATACGTACTTTATGTATGATATGTGCTTGTGTATGATATGTACTTGTGTATGATAAAATTATCCTCTCAGTTCTGGTGCCAACATTCAATATCCAGGTGTAGGCAGAGCTGTGTTCCCTCTGAAGGCTTTAGGGAAGAATTCTTGCCTCTTTCAGCTCTGCTGGTTGGCTGCAGTCCTGAGCATTCTCTGGGTTGTAGCTGTGTCAGTGTAATCCCTGCCTTCATTACTACATAGCCTTCTTTCCTGTTTCTCCTTGGTGTTTCTGTGACTCCTTCTTCTCTAAAAAAAGAAACCAGTCATCAACTATAGGGCCCGCCCTAATCCTGTATGTCCTCCTCTTAACTAAGTACAACTGTAAATGCCTTATTTTTAAATAAGGTCGTATTTTGAGGTTGTGAATAGACCTGAACTTAGGGAAGAACTATTCAAGTGGGTAAAGATACATAATTTTGAATGCTGTTTTTGAACATTTCTTAATTGCTGTGTTGAATACCCACTCTGTGTTTCAGTATTTCTTACAGAAAAAGTGTTCCCAAAGTTTTAAAGTAGCATCATACTGTGACATAGAATTCCACAGAAAAATATCCAACCCTAGTCCCATCATCTAATAGTACTGATGTTCATTTTACAGCTTTATATTAGACTGTTTTCCTATATTTGCTTTATTTTCCATCTTAATATTCATAATATTTTGGGTTTTTCTTTAAGATTTTTAAATGTATTATTTGTTTACTTTTGAGTGGCAGGGACCCAAATACTTGAGCCATCAACACCTACTGCCTCCCAGAGTACGTAGTAGCAGAAAGCTGATCAGAAGTTGAGTAGCCTGGACTTGAATCCATGCTCTCTGATATGGGTTGCTGGTATCCAAAGCAACATCTTAACCACGGTACCAATACCCACTCCCTTTTGTAATGTTTTATATCATTCTTTTCTTCATCTATTAATATTAGATCATGAGTATTTTCATGCTGCTTGTGTGATCTTAAGACCACATTCACATTCACATCCAAAACATAACCCAGAACACAGAATTATTATCATGCCATTGGACACTTCTATTTTTTTTTAAATTTTTTTGACAGGCAGAGTGGACAGTGAGAGAGAGAGACAGAGAGAAAGGTCTTCCTTTGCCGTTGGTTCACCCCCCAATGGTTGCTGCGGCCAGCGCGCTGCGGCTGGCACACCGCGCTGATCCAAAGGCAGGAACCAGGTGCTTTTCCTGGTCTCCCATGGGGTGCAGGGCCCAAGCACTTGGGCCATCCTCCACTGTACTCCCGGGCCACAGCAGAGAGCTGGACTGGAAGAGGAGCAACCAGGATGGAATCCGGCGCTCAGACCGGGATTAGAACCCGGTGTGACGGCGCCGCAGGCAGAGGATTAGCCTATTGAGCTGCGGCACTGGCCGGATACTTCTATTTTTAACAATCTGAGTTTTCAATACATGAAGTATCTCCATGATTGTGCTCTGAATCTTCTTTAAGTTTATGGTTTCAGGGATTTCCCATCTGTTTTTTGTTTAAGCCTTCTCCCTCCTTTATGTTTAACTTTTGGCTTTTCACTGGTCTGTTTCCATCCATATTCTGTCATTCTCAAGCCTCTTAGTAAACTCTTACTTGACACTGTACCTCTACTTACTGCCTTACATTCCTGCAGAAGGCATAGCTAGATACTGAAAGGATGGGCTACTTTGTTTTATCACTATATCCTCATCTCCCACTTTTTCCTGTCGATTGTGTATGTGCGTGTGTGTGTGTGTGTGTGAGGTGGCATGAGCGTGTATATCATATTGTTCTTGTGTTAAAGTAACCTAGAATTCCTGGGATAAAGTCTGGTTGATTATGGCATAGTATTTTATTATGGGATTTGATTTCTTAATATTTTGTTAAAATTTTTGCATCTGTATTTATGAAGGTTATTGGTGTATATATTTTTTCTTATATGTTGTTATCAGGCTTTTTTATTAATTGAGTTGAGTAATACCTCTTCCTGCTTTACTTCCTGATAGTTTAGTGTGAAACCAAAAGTTTGGTACCATTTTTCCCTTTAATGAGAAGAATCACCAGCAAAATTATTCAGATCTGGAATATTTTGTGGAGAGGTCTTTGGGCTTAAATTCAGTTGTTTTTGTAATCTGCTGTTCAGATTTTTCCATTTCAACAGTTTAGTGATTTCTGTATACTAAGAAATTGAGACATTAATTTATAAACATAGTTGTCCATGATACTGCCTTATCCTTTTGATATCTATTATCATGATTATCATTACATTCTTTTACCTCTAATGTATATATTTTTTGTTTTCTGTCTCTATTTCTTGTTAAATATTTATAGACTGCTTAGTTTTATTCAGCTTTTCACAAGAACAAACTTGGGCTTTGCTAGTATCTCTGTTGTGTATTTCCATTTTCACTGCTTTTCAGTGTTTATTCATTTCTTTTACTTTCTTTGATTTAATTTTATATCATTGAGTGAAAAGTTTCTCATTGACTTTAAGCCTTTCATCCTTTCTAGTAAAACCTTCGAAAGCTACAAATTTTCTTTTCTGCACTGCTTTAGCAGCCCCAACTTTTTTGATGCCTTTTACTTTCATTGCAATTTCTTTAAATATAATTTATAATTTCCAATGTGATTTATTTTGGGACAAATCAATTTTTTGTGGTAAATAACATTTAAAAAGTTTTATTTATTATTTTATTTGAAAGACAGAGACAGACAAAAAAGACAAAGAGGTCCCACCCACTGATTACTCCCCAAATGCTCATAACAACCAGTGCTATGTCAGACTGAAGTCAGTCTAGATCTCCCAGATGGGTGGCAAAGACCCAACTACTTTGAAACATCCCCTGCTGCCTCCCAAAGTGTGCATCAGGAGGAAGCTAGAAATGGAAGCAGAGCTGGGCCTCTAATCCAGGCACTCTGATTCGTGATGCACACTTCCAAAGTACCATCTCAACTACTGTGCTAAACACTTGCCCCCAAATTAAACTTCCCATATGATACCATCATTACCTTTTGGAAAGATTATTACTCTATGAAAACATGTTTAATTTAGTTTCAAATATGCTTATTTTGTCTCAGATATTATCTTCAGAATTTTGAGGAAAAATCAAATACATCAAATCCCTGTGATTTCCTACCTAAAATATGTAGAATTACCTGGGTTTATAAATCTTTCGTTTAGACAACTATTAATATTTGTTTGAGAGAAGATATTTGTACCTACTGTCATCTTTATACTTTTGTTGAAAGAGGAATTGTAGAAAGAGATGTCAGCCTAGTCATTGCCTTAGATATTTATAAAAGATTTCATTTTGAACAGCAGGAGTTTTGAAAAATATTAACAAATATAGAGATACCAGTTATATAAAGGACTAGAATAATTCTTTTAGTGATCCTTTTTAATGACTAGGACATCAAAGTCAAAAGTATATTCTTTTCTACTATCTTGATACTTGGTATTTCAACAACTAGCTCCTAATAATGCATAATTTTGAGTCATAACAAAGTTTTAATAAAGCTGTTGCCTCCACAAATATTGGGAACTAAACTTATATGGTAAATGCGTTTCTTTTAAACAGGACCCATGTGCAACAAATCTATCACCATCATCCCTTAGAGAAAGTACTGGAAATTCCTTTTCACCAGAACCTGGGGAAAAATCATCCATAAAAGGTAGATATTTATAATTTTGTGTCTTATTTGTGACATATGTATTGCTTAGAAGTCTGTTTGTAAGAGAAATGATACTTTTTATAGTTACAAGGAAAATAACTATTTGTATTAGTCTGAGTTTTAATCCCAACTATGCAGTTTATTAACTGTTGTTACTTTAGATGCCGAAAAGTGATCTCTGAGTGTCTAAGTTATATATTATCTGTCTCATAAGGCAGTTGTGGAAATCAAGTGACAAAGGGCATTTCAGCCATTAGGCAGTTCCTGGTACAAGTACAGTGATCACTTAAGGTAAACTATTACTATATATGCGTTGCTGCAGCAGATTGTAATGCAACATAATGGCTAGGTGAAATTTTAGAGTGAAACTAAACTAGATTTGAATCCAGACACAACAACATGAACATAGTAACCAACCTATCTTGCCCTGTATATTGATCTTTAAATAAAAGTATTCTACCTCATAGGGTGGTTGTGAAAATTAAATTAATGAGTAATATACACAAAGCACTTAGAACAATATCATGGTAAGCAGATAGTGACGTGTCTCATGCACTGCTTCTTTTCCTAGGGGCATGACATGTGGCTTAATGAGAGACCTAAAAGGCATAACTGTTTCTAGGACTGGGATGTGTAACTAGCATTAGCTAAGTGCTTACTATGTAACATTTTTGTCATTTTTCAGATGAGACAAACTGACGTGCAAAGATATTGGGAATCATACCCAACTTTAGTGATGGAGCCATAGCTTGAATTTTCAGCTCCAAAATCCCCATTGTTTTTTCACTGAATAGATTAACATTTCTAAAAGTTCAGTGATGAGTTGAGTTGTGGTCAGTCTCCAAATATGAATGTGTCCTATAATAATAAAGTGATTTTAAACTTAGCTTACCCCAAAACAAGTTTCCAGAAAAATGAATGCAGCAGAATTAATACTTTTGATAGTAAAGGTTACACATTTAGCCTGGAGGTACATCTTGGTAGAATTGAAACTTGATAATTCACATAAAAGCATTAATTTCTTTCTGTTGAACATCCGTAAGTGCAACAGAATTAGAATAGGAGCCATTGAGTAAAAGCACAGCTGAGCCATCTTATTCCAGAGTTGAGCACCGAGAGGGTCAGTAACCAGCCTGTCCTTAGTGCCCTTTTTAGTATCAGGGTCAGCACTATCTCAAGATGGGGATGCAACTGCCCAGCGACTGACTTTATTCTCTGTGTAAAATTGCATTGGTTCTTGGTTCTCCTTCATCTGTGCAAATCTACAGCCGCATTGCCAGTAACTGTAGTAGCTGTGTGCCCCTTGTTCCAGCTCACACACACTCAAACGGTAGAATTGAATGGATACTACCATCTCACTTCATGGGTTCATACGTCACCACCAAAGTCTTTCAGTATGGTTTGTTTGGGGCTAGTTATACCGTTATATTTATTAATATGCTGTTTTTCTAATTATTAGATTTTTGGAGTGCTTCATTAGGTTAAGAGTAGTTATTTTCTTTTTTTGTAACTCACAATTTATTCAAGTTTAATATTTTAGTTTGCTTTATATAATATTCCCTCAGTATCCACAAGAAATTGGTTCCAGACCCCTGGCAGATACCAAAATCTGTGGGTGCTCAAACCCCTATTATAAATGATCTGGTATTTGCATAATTTCCCATATACTTTAAGTCCTCTCCAGATTATTTATAATACCCATTACATTGAAAATGCCATGTAAGTAGTTCTACATTCTATTGCTTAGGAAATAACAAGAAAAAAAGTCCAGAGGAGTTCAGTGGAGATACAATTATATTTTTAAAACTATCTTTGATCTGAAATTGATGGAATCTGCAGCTATGTAATCTATAGATGTCAAGAACCGGCTGTATTTTATTATACAAGAAAAAGAGATAATAGCCAGTCTTCATGTAAAGCAAACTGACTTATTAATTCAGAAGAGAGTTCTAATCCTGTTACTCTGTCTCCAAGTAGATCAGAATGAAGAATTCACTGAAAACTGTGCTTCCTTGAAATCAAATGCAAATAAAGAGAATTCATTATTGATGGACTTTGTTACTACTGCACTTGAGAAACCTAAAGAAAGTCATTTGACTGCTGAGGGCCATAAAGAAGAAAAGGAGAAGGCTGAACTGGTAACAGACGATAACTCAGCAGTTGATCCATCACTATTTAAATCTCAGAGTATCTTATTATCCACTAGTCCAACAGAATCTGCAAAGGTAATTATATACATTTACACTACTTATTCTGTACTATAGCTTCAAACTTAAAAAATTTTAAAGTATGTTATCTTTTGTGTTACAAACTTCTGAATTACAGAAAACTATAATTGTAGAAAACTCATCTTTTAGTAGTAGTGTTGTTAAGTGGTTTTTACTTAATTAAATTGAATTTTAACTTCAAGGAAGATTTGTAGTGAATATAATGAAACCCATTGTTTTGCAAAAAAAAAATCAAAGGTATATAATATACATTTTGTTGCTTTATTTTTTTATTTTCCTTGAAAGCAGGAATAATAATATCATACAACATGGGATTCATGACAAAGATTATAAAGTGAGGAAAGAAGGGAATATTATTATGTAAGGCATATAATTCAGTGAACATAATAAGTATGTAGCAAGTACTATGGCATCTTGAACCTATTTGTCATTTTTCTTAGCATTTCCCTGATGGCTAGTGATGCTGAGCAGTTTATCCTGTGCTGTTAATTGTTCCTCTGCTGTGCAGAAGCTTCTTAGTTTGATGCAATCCCATGTATTGAGGTCTTATTCAAAAAGATTTTGCTTGTACTAATGTCTTGGAGTGTTTCATCTTTGTTTCCTAGCATAAGTTCTTCTATTTAGATCTTTGAGCATTTTGAATTGATTATTGTATAGTGTGTACATTAGGGGTTTTGAGTCACACTTCTGCATGTATAAATCCAATTTTCCAACACCATTTATTGAAGAGATTGTCTTTTCTCCAGGTAATATTTTTAGCACATTTATCAAAGATAAATTGGTTATGCATGCATGGATTTATTTCTGGAGTTTCTATTCTGTTCCATTTGTGTATGTGTTTACTTTTATGTCAGTCTCACGCAGCTTTGGTGAAAGTAGCCTTATTGTAAGTCTTCACATCAGGTATTGTGATGCCTCTGGTTTGTTTTTATTATTCAAGACTGCTTTCACTAATGGGGGTCTGTTGTGTTTCTAAATGAATTTTAGGATTGTTGTTTCTAATTTTGTGAAGAATGCATTGGTATTTTGATGGACATTGTGTTGAATCTATAAATTGCTTTGGGTAGTATGGACATTCTGATAACATTAATTTGTTTAATCCATAAACATGAGAGACTCTATTTATATTTCCTATTTCTTTCTTTAATGTTTCGTAATTTTCATTGTGGAGGTCTTTTTTGTCCCTGGTTAAATTTATCCCAAGGTCATTCTTTTTGTTGTTAGCTATTATGAGTGGGATTGTTCTTACAAGTTCTTTCCCAGCAAGACCACTGCTGGTGTATAAAAAATAATACTGATTTTTGTGTATTGATGTTGTTACCTGAAACTTTGCTGAATTCTCTTATAACTTCTAATAGTCTCATAATAGAGTGTTTTATTTCCATTTATATAGAACCATGTCATCTGCAAATGGGTAATTTGACTTTCTACTTTCTGATTTATAAACCTTTAATTTCTTTCTCTGGCTAAAACTTCCTGTACTGTATTGATTAAGACTGGTAAGAGTCGACATCTTTGTCTAGATATTAGTGGAAATATTTCTAAAATTTCCCTATTCAATAAAATGTTGGCTGTGGGCTTGTCATATATAGCCTTTATTATCCTGAGATATGTTCCTTCAGTACTTAATTTGAGGTTTTTATCATGAAAGGAAGTTGTATTTTATCAAATGCTTTCTGTGCATCTATTGAGGTAGCCATATGATTTTTATCCTTCATTCTGTTGATGTGATGTATCATGTTTATTGATTTGCCTATGTTGAACCATCTCTGCATCCCTGAGATAAAAACCACATGGTTAGATTGGTTGATATTTTTCATGTTATTGGATTTGATTTGTTCATTCTTTATTGAAGATTTTTTTATCTATGTTTATCAGGGATATTGGACTATAATTTCCTTTTTTGTTGTTATATCTTTGTCTGCTTCTGGCCTTAAAGAAATTAGTTTGGAAGAGTCTCCTCCATTTAGCTCTTTAAAATAGTTTTAATACTTATGTTAGTTACTCCTTACAAATTTGATAGAATTAACCCAGAAAGCCATCTGATCTTGGGCTCTTCTTTGTTGGGAGATTCTTTTTCACTGACTCAATCTCATCTTTGGTTATTGATCTGTTCATGTTTTCTATGTTTTTATAATCTCATTGATTATATGTTTCCAGAAATTTATTCTCAGTTTTCCAATTTGTTAGCATATGGTTTGTTCATGATAGTTCTTAATGATTCTTTGTATTTCTTTGCTTTCAATTGTAATATCTCCTTTTTGTCTCTGGTTTTATTGATTTCAGTCTTCTCTCTTTTTCTCAGTCTGTCTAATGTTTTCTCAGTTTGGTTTGTCTCTTTAAATAAGCATTCATTTCATTTACGTTTTGTATTTTGTTATTTTATTTCTTCATTTTTATTTTTTTACCTTCCACTCATTTCAGATTTGGTTTGTTCTTGGTTTTCTTTACTTATTTTCTTCTTTAAAAGATTTATTTATTTATTAGAAAGTCAGAGAGAGGGAGAGACAAAGAGAGATCTTCCGTGTTCTAGTTCATGCCCAGATGACCACAATGGCTAGGGCTGGGACAGGCAAAAGCCAGGAGCCAGGAGCTTCTTCTGGGTCTCCCATGTGGATGGTAGGGGCCCAACCACTACTTGGTCCATCTTCTACTGCTTTTCCTATGACATTAGCAGAGAGCTGGATTGCAGGTGGAGCAGCTGAGACAGGAATCAAGTGAGATTACAGGAGTAGCTGGGACAGGAACTGCCAAGCATCCATATGGGTTGTAGGCATTGCAGGTGGTGGCTTTACCTGTTACTCCACTACAGCAGCTCCTTGTTCTTGTTTCTCTATGTCTTTGAAATACATTGTTAGCTTATTTTATTTGCTACATTCCCATTTTTTGATGTAGGCCCTTATTGTTAGAAACTTTCATCTTAATATTGCTTTGCCTGTTAGTTGTATGTTGTGTTCCCATTTTCATTAGTCTCCAAGAATTTTTAAATCTTCCATTTGACTTCTTCAGTGATCCATTATTCATGAAAGAGCATGTTGTTCCATCTCCATACAGTTGTATGATTTCTAGAATTTCTTTTGTTTGTAAGTTCAAGCTTTATTCCTTTGCGGTCAGAAAAGATACACAATATGATTTCATTGTTTTGAATTTGTTGACTTATTTTGTGGTCTAATATATGGTCTATCCCGAAGAATGTTCTGTGTCCTGATGAAAGAAATGCATATTCTTTAGCTATGCAGTAGAATGTTTACTTCTCCTGAAATGAATTTTTTATCTCTTATAGCTACATTTGACTAAAAATATATTCTAGTGTGTATTCACTATTAAGGTAATATGTGTATTCACTGTTAAGGAAAGAAAATAGGGCTAACTAAAAATTTGTGATGGGCAGGGCTTTTATAATGAACAATATTAGTTTTCAATTAAGATTATGAAGACTGATTAAGCCATTTTCCAGGTAAATCACCCTTAGCTATCTTCTTTAAGAAAAACACTCCTGCCAAGTTAGCGTCCATCTGCACTCTCACTTTACTCCTAGCACATACTCACCCATTTGTATAAAGTAGAAAAATTATTCCTTCAAAAAAGGGTATTTTGGAAGTTTATAGACGGTATCTTAGAAATCTCTAATATAAACATTTAATTTTTGTAAAAAAATAAAAGTTAATTCTAAACTAGATCAGGCTTCAAAATTTCATGGAAAATTGATATTATGAAAAAAGTATTTTTTAAAAAGGTCTGAACCAAAATAAAACTCTTAATTCTGTTTTTCCATGAACTTAATTGGAGTCCTTTCATTTCTTTTGACTAGATATTTGGTCTAGTTATTACTGCTCTTAAAGGGATATTTCTTAAGTCTGAATCAGATCATCCCCCCTGTTAAAGTGTCTTTGTTGTTTTTTCACATGAGAATAGAATCCAAACTCATACCACCACCTGGTAATCCCATTTCATTCTCTGACCACCACGTCTCTTCTGCTTTTCTTGCCGTTCACTGTGCTTCAGCGCCAGCTCTTTCCCTTCTCTGGCTCTTAGCACTGAGTTTCCTTGTTCCCTTAGACCTTCATGGGACCCTTTGTGCTCATCCGTTCTCTGTTCTGATGTCAGTCTCAGGAGACCTTCCCAGATCAACTTCACCATTGTGGCCTTTCGGCCTCCTTCTAGTCATGCTGTCACTGTACTCAATTTGTCTCCATGATTCACTTTTATGGATACATTTATTGTTGGTCAACCCTCTCCAAAATGCAGTATCCCTGAGAGCATTTTATTCATTGATTTGTTCCTGGCGCCTGTTGTACTTGACTTGTAGTAGTTTTGAAAAATACTGATTTACTACCTATGGTAAATAACCCTTCTGTGGTATTTTCTGTTTAACAGAAAACAATCGAAGACAGAAACACAAAGAATAAAAGGTCAACAAATAATAGAGTATCCAGTGCATCTGGCAGGTAATAAACTTATCAAAATTCCTCATTTGTAGATTTGTATTCTAGAAAGTTTGATTTCAGTTTAAATTCCATAAAATTAATTTTTCTTTATGTCACTTGGTTTTCTCTTATTTCTATCTTATGAGCTGAATAATAAAATCCTTCAGCTGATTAAATCCTTTATAAAAAGTTAGTAATAGAATTATTTCTTTTTTATATAAAGATTTACGTACTTATTTGAGAGGCAGAGTTACAGAGATAAGGAGAGAGAGAGAGAGATGTCTTCTATCCACTGGTTCACTCCCCAGATGGCTGCAATGAACAGAGCTGAGCTGATCTGAAGACCAGGAGCCAGGAACTTCTTCTGGGTCTCCCACATGGTGCAGGGGCCTAAGCACTTTGGCCATCTTCCACTGCTTTTCTAGGCACATTAGCAGGGAGCTGGATTGGAAGTGGAGCAGCCAGGACATGAATTGGCATCTATATGGAATGCCTGTGAAACTGGCAGAGGTATAACCTACTGTTTCACAGTCCTGGCCCAAATAATTATTTCTGTTAATGGTTGTTTTAATAGCTAGAGTATTTATGCAATCATTTTGTTCTCCAAAATTGCTTGTTCCCTGAAGTCAAAGACTAGGAATTCTCTATACTCTATACTGCTCTTCGGTTTTTCCTGAGACAATAATATAAAATGGTGATAAAACTGAAGTCCAGCATTATGCTTAATTCTATTAAGTGTCTTTGTCCAACACATTAAAAAACTTGTGCTTGGAGTTTTCAGGTTCTCTGGTCTATGTGGGCTCATTCAAGTGCTAAAAATCTGTACCTTTGTCCATGCTGATGATAATGAATGTTGACTCATTAGGTGCTAATCAAAACTTTCAGCATCTTTTATCATATATGAAATGACCATTAGAACAGGGTCAGCCAACTTCTCCTGTAAATGGACAATAAGCCCATGTTTTAGTCTTTATAGGTAATGCAATCCTGTTGTGACTGCACAGTTCTGCTATTGTAGCAAGAAGGCATCCATAGACCACATGGAAATGAGTGAATATAGCTGTAGTGCACTGAACTGTGTATCAAAACAGATGATAGGCCAGATTTCCCCACCAATTCTTGAAAAAGAAGCCATGGTTCTTTCTAATCCCATACTGAGAATGGTTTATGTAACAAAACACTATAAAAAGGCATTAAAAAGTGATTAAAACTACCTTTATTATTATTATTATTATTTTTTACAGGCAGAGTGGACAGTGAGAGAGAGAGAGAGAGAGAAAGGTCTTCCTTTTGCCATTGGTTCACCCTCCAATGGCCACTGTGGCCGGTGCGCTGCAGCCAGCATACTGCGCCTATCCGAAGGCAGGAGCCAGGTGCTTATCCTGGTCTCCCATGGGGTGCAGGGCCCAAGCACTTGGGCCATCCTCCACTGCATTCCCGGGCCACAGCAGAGAGCTGGCCCGGAAGAGGGGCAACCGGGACAGAATCTGGTGCCCCGACCGGGACTAGAACCCGGTGTGCCGGCGCCGCTAGGCAGAGGATTAGCCTATTGAGCCGCGGCGCCAGCAAAACTACCTTTATTAATATTGTTTCCCTTGTAACTTGAGATATGGTCCATGTTTCTTAAAATGGTTCTAATTATAAATACTACAGGGAACAATTGTTTAAATTATATAAAGTGAAAAAATTTACATTATTTTTAATGGGGCTCTTTGTATACTAAGAAAATATTATACAGGCCAGTATTGTGGCTTAGCGAGTTAAGTCTCTGACTGTGATGCTACCTAACTTCTGATCCAGCTCCCTGCTAATCTTTCTAGGAAAGCAGCAGAAGATGGCCCAAGTACTTGGGCCTCTGCCACCCACTCAGGAGACCCAGATAGAGTTCCTGACTCCTGGCTTCTGTCTGGCTTGGCCCAGCTGTTGCAGCTGTTTAGGAAGTGAATCAAAGGATGGAATATATCTCTCTTTCTTATCTCTCTTTCTCTCTCACTTTGCCTTTCTTAAATCTTTAAAAGTAAAAAAAAAAAAAAAAAAAAAGATTTTATGAAGATATTTGATTCTTGAAAAAGTTAATAGAAAAATGAAATTAAAAGGAAGTTTATTTTGGTACCAAAATTTTTTAAATCCATGCATACTTTTTTTCATACTATGCATGTTCAATAAGCTTTTTGAAGACCCTTAATATTTTACCAACATCTTATAATTTAGTATATTAAAGAACAAAATAGCTTTCAAATATAATACTTGCATGTTATAACACATGTCTGTTCTACTAAATGCATTTGTAATATTTTATCTTAATCTGTTTGGATCTTTTCAGATTAATGACTTCCGACTTTTTAAAGAAATCTAGTTCTGCAAGGAGAAGTCCTTCAACAACTACTTCTTCTCACTATTTAGGGACTTTGAGAGTCTTGGACCAAAAGCCTTCACAGAAACCAAGTCTAGAACCTGACAAAGCAGACAGCATAAGGGCAGCTGTGTATCAGGTAAAAAAAAAAGAATTTTGTTTTAAAATAATAACAGATAACTTCCATAAGGCTGTTTGTCACAGAATAACGTTACCCTGATAGAAATGATAGCAAACACTTAATTTTATTGAGAAGGATTTTATTTTGTAATACATGGGCAAGCCAAAATAATTTACTAAATTATTTTCTTCCATGCTTTGCTTAGTTGATTATAGATATTTTTAAAGAATGGGAGCATGCTATTACTGTTGATTAAAAACAGAGCAATAGTTGGCTGGCGCCGCTGCTCACTAGGTTAATCCTCCGCCTTGTGGCGCCGGCACACTGGGTTCTAGTCCCGGTCGGGGTGCTGGATTCTGTCCCGGTTGCCCCTCTTCCATGCCAGCTCTCTGCTGTGGCCAGGGAGTGCAGTGGAGGATGGCCCAAGTCCTTGGGCCCTGCACCCCATGGGAGACCAGGATAAGTACCTGGCTCCTGCCGCGGCGGCCATTGGAGGGTGAACCAACGGCAAAAGGAAGACCTTTCTCTCTGTCTCTCTCTCACTGTCCACTCTGCCTGTCAAAAAAAAAAAAAAAAAAGCAAAAGTTAAATACTTGAAGATCTATATATGTTTTTATGCTTTTTTCTCTTTCAAGCTTAGATTATGAATAAAAAGGTTTCATTTTTTTCTGTCTCTGAGACTTTATGGGGCTTACATACACACAAAATTTTCCTAATTTTTGCATAATCCTCAAAATGGTCTTTTTTGTCTTGCTGAGAGGCAGAGTTACAGAGAGGAAGAGAGAAAGATCTTCCATCTGCTGGTTCATTCCCCAAGTGGCTACAATGGCAGGAGCTTATTCTAGGTCTCCCACATGGATACAGGGACCCAAGCATTTGAGCCGTCTTCTATTGCTTTCCCAGGCCATTAGCAGGGAGCTGGATCAGAAGTGGAACAGCTGGGATATGAACCAGTACCCATTTGGGATGTGGCACTACTATGCCACAGTGCTAGCCCCAAAGTCTTTTGTTACAACAAGGATAACGTGAATAGAAATTTCTTAATTGCACTTTTCCTTCTGTATTAAAATCTTAGAAGAAAAGAAAAATGACATTCCTTTATATAAAATTTACAAATTTTGTGTTTTTAGAGTTTTAATCAAATATTTCAGAAATAAATAAGAATTTGGGAACTTTGAATATCATGCAGTATTTTTCTTGTTCTGACAGGAGTGGTTAGAAAAGAAAAATGTATATTTACATGAAATGCACAGAATAAAAAGAATTGAAAGTGAAAACCTAAGGATCCAAAATGAACAGGTATTGTGAAACTAACTGAAAAATGTTCTAGATTTGCATATCAATAAAATCTCTGAGTTTTTCTAAATCTACTTTTTAAAATGGCAAAGTGACATATATATACAAAATAATTCACTTATGATTTTCTTTCTTTTATACTTTATATTTTTTAGTTTAATATAAATGTATTATAACTTTTACATGAAAACATTAACTTATAGATTTTTATTTTTTGTTTTATCACTTTATGTATAGAATAGCTATGGTATGACTGATTATAAATTTATTATTGCTTGTGACCACCTAATTCCTAAAATTTTGTTTCCTTTAGTATTTAACCAAAAATATAAGGAGTCATTAGACATTAGGCCTTCATTTTTCCTCCATTCTCTGTTGGGTTTCCATCCAATGGTTCACTGCCCAGATGGCCACAGCGGCCAGAGCTGTGCCGAGCTGGAGCCAGGAGCCAGGAGCTTCTTCCAGGTCTCCCACATGGGTGCAGGGGCCCAAAGACTTGGGCCATCTTCTACTGCTTTCCTGGACCATATCAGAGAGCTGGACAGGAAGCAGAGCAGCCAGGTCTTGAACTGGCGCCCATATGGGATGCTGGTGCTTCAGGCCAGGGCGTTAACCCACTGCGCCATAGTGCTGGCCCCAACTTTCTTGATTATAATTATAATTGAAGTGCTTTATTAAGAACATTTAATTGTAACAATCAACACTATATTTAGCATTTTTTTATTGTATTACCAAAGAATAGTTGACTTCCTTCTCATAAATAGTAGGTGAATATCTGATGAATGCCTTTAGAAAAGGACATTTTAAATAGAATCAATAATTCAGATAACATTTCTTCTAAATTCACCTGTATAAAGCAACCTAAATAAGTCATCTGATTTGAAACCTTCTGTCCCTAATGACTATCAAGGAATTAAAGCTATATTTATATATGTGCATATCTCTGTATTTGTCTACTTGTTTATACACATGTGCATTATGTATCTACCTATTATTATTTCCAAAATAGAAAAGAGCTGCTAAGAGAGAAGAAGCATTAGCGTCATTCGAGGCCTGGAAGGCAATGAAAGAAAAGGAAGCAAAGAAAATAGCTGCAAAAAAGAGGCTTGAGGAAAAAAACAAGAAGAAAACCGAAGAAGAAAATGCTGTGCGAAAAGGAGAAGCACTACAGGTATTCAAGAGTTTTGAATATCTCTCTTTTCTTTTGTCTTATAATTTCATTTTTTTTAATTTTAAAAAAATTTTAAGTCATGTATTAATACCTACTTATGGGGTACTATATGACAATTCAGTATATATATATGTATTTTTTAATGTCCAATTAGGATAAATACATGTGTCCCTTAAACAGTAAATACTTCTTTACAATTAAAACACCAAAATCCTACCTTCTAATTTGTTTTTTCTTTGCTTCATAATGAAATACACAGTATATTATCTATATATACCATGCTGTAATTCTTTTTAAATATTTGAAATCAAAATTCATGATTAACTGCATTTTTACTTGTTTCATAATAGTCATAGTAAGAAAATCAATTGGAACTTTTTCAGGCATTTGAAAAATGGAAAGAGAAAAAGATGGAATATCTTAAAGAGAAAAACAGAAAGGAGAAGGAATATCAAAGAGCAAAGAAACAGAAAGAGGAAGAAACTGTTGCTGAAAAAAAGAAAGATAATTTAACTGCTGTTGAAAAATGGTAATCCACAATAATAAATATTCTTTTAAAGATCTTATTTTATTTATTTGAAAGACAGAGTTACAGAGAGAGGTAGAGACAGACATAGAGAGGTCTTCCATCCGCTGGTTCACTCCCCAAATGGGCACAGTGGCCAGAGCTGAGCTGATCCAAATCCAGGATCCAGGAGCTTCTTGTGGGTCTCTTACATGGGTGCAGGGGCCCAAGCACCCAAGCACTTGCACCATCCTCCGCTGCTTTCCCAGGCTCATTAACAGAAAGCTAAATCAGAAGTGGAGCAGCCAGGACTTGCACCAGCACCCATGTAGGATGCCGGTGCTGCAGGCCGGGTCTTTAACCCTCTGTGCTGTAGCACTGGCCCCAATAAATATTTTTGTAGATTACAAATTTTTTTCCTGCTTTTTAAAAATTGATTTTCTTGAAGTCTGCTCATGTATCTCAATTTCATTGTAGCTAAAATTTATTTTAAGGAATCTTATTATATATTCTTTAACCTTCCAGTGTTTTGTACTATCTTACATAGGAATGAAAAAAAGGAAGCTTTTTTCAAACAAAAGGAAAAAGAGAAAATAAATGAGAAAAGAAAGGAAGAACTTAAAAGAGCTGAGAAAAAAGATAAAGATAAACAAGCTATTGACGAATATGAAAAATGGCTGGTAGGTGTTACTTGTTAGTGTACTTGTGTCTTTCCCTTGCAGTTTTCTGAGCTTTTTATGTCCGTAATTCCAGTGCTGTTTGTCCCATACCAGTTTACCATTTCTACCTGGAAGATGTCTTATTGAATTTATTCTCTGCTATGTATATCACATTCTCTTTAATTAACTGATTTCTTTTAGTGCTTCTACTTTTCTCTCAGATATTCAGATAATATCCTTTCTTACTTGAATCCCCACATTCAGTAATTTACCAGTCATGCCCATTCTTTTATTTTTATTTTTATATCTGAAATCATGGAAAGCAGACAAGTAAACTATTGAGGGTATTCTAATGTTAAGCAAGATATCATTTTCCACTTTAAAAGATCAATATACATATCTGTTTTTAATAATTCATACATTATTGTAAATAGGTACTTTGCATGATTTAATAACTTATATGAATAGTTTACATATTTACATGATTCTGCAATCAAAATGTATGAAAATTTTCCATAGTCTTTTTTATTATTATTATTTTTAAAGATTTATTTCATTTATTTGAAATACAGAGTTACATAGCAAGGTAGAGCCAGAGAGAGAGAGTGAGTCTTCCATCTGCTGGTTCACTCCTCAAATGACCGCAATGGCCAGAGCTGAGCTGATCCAAAGCCAGGAACCAGGAGCTTCTTCTGGGTCTCCCACGCGGGTGCAGGGGCCCAAGGACTTGGGCCATCTTTTTTTTTTTTTTTTTTTTTTTGACAGGCAGAGTGGACAGTGAGAGAGAGAGACAGAGAGAAAGGTCTTCCTTTGCCGTTGGTTCACCCTCCAATGGCCGCCGCGGCCGGCGCGCTGCGGCCGGCGCACCGCGCTGATCCGATGGCAGGAGCCAGGAGCCAGGTGCTTTTCCTGGTCTCCCATGGGGTGCAGGGCCCAAGCACCTGGGCCATCCTCCACTGCACTCCCTGGCCACAGCAGAGGGCTGGCCTGGAAGAGGGGCAACCGGGACAGAATCCGGTGCCCCGACCGGGACTAGAACCCGGGGTGCCGGCGCCGCTAGGCGGAGGATTAGCCTAGTGAGCCGCGGCGCCGGCCTTGGGCCATCTTGTACTGCTTTCCCAGGCCATAGCAGAGAGCTGGATCAGAAGTGAAGTAGCTGGGACTAGAACTGGCGCCCATATGGGATGCTGGCACTTCAGGCTATGGTGTTAACCCACTGTGCCACAGCGCCAGCCCCCCCCCGCCCCATAGTCTTTTTAATAGGGGTTTTATATCAAATTTTTTTAATTCTTGCCAGTCAACCCATTAAAAATATCATCCAATATATTTTTTATTTGCATTTCTCTGGTCAGGATTGAGCTTGAACATCTTTTCATCTGTATGAAATTTATATATAAACATATATATATGTGTGTATTAATGTATGTATACACGCATGCATATATATATATACACACTCTTAAAATGTTTTATTTTGGAATTCTGTAAACTGTCAATTCATAGACTTTAAACATTTTTCTATTAGTTGTTGGTCTTTTTCTTATTGATTTCTAGAAGCATTTTATGTAAATTAGCTTATTTCTGGGAGGAGTTACAGATATTTTTTCCCTGCTATATTACTATTTGCCAACTTTATAGTATTTTATTCCATGAAGAGTTTAGTTTTATATTTAGGTCTCAAGTTCAGTCTTGTCTTTTGATTTCTGATATTCAAGCATAGTTTAAAAATCCTTCTCAGTAAGTTGAAGTTAAACAAATTTCTCTTGTTTTTCAAATAATATGACTTTATTATCTTATCTTTTTAACATTTGTTCTGTTTAGAATTTATCCTAATATGTGATAGGGAATATAAAACTTTATTTCTTCAAATTCATCTTTTACCCACTAAATATTTTCAGGGCTATCTATTGACTTTCTATCTCATTGGTCAAATTTCACTATATATATATTCCAATACCATACTGTTTCATTGTTATTTTTATATGGCTAAATATTGTGGCAAATTTCTCTTCATAGCTCTGTTTCAGAATTTCTGCCTATTGTTTATTTTTTAAAATGAACTTTAGAATCAAAAGTATCTAGAATGACACCAAAATGAGCTATTTGATGGTAGGATTAATGTACAAAATGTACAAGACCAAAACTTTACAATGCTCTTGAAGGATGCAGTTGAAAACTTCAGAAAACAAAACAGAACAACTCTTTTTTTAAATTAATTAATTAATTAATTTTTAAGGAATACAAATTTCATGTGTACAACCTTAGGAAGAGTTATTCTTCCCGCCATACCCGCCTCCCACCCACACTCCCGCCCTCCTCTCCTTCCCTTTGCCCTTCCCAGTCCCATTCTCCATCAAGATTCATTTTCAGTTAACTTTGTACACGGAAAACCAGCTCTACATTAAGTAAAGATTTCAGCAAAATTGCACACACACACAAACCTGTTTGAGAATAAGTATCACATTTAACTTTCATAATATTACAACTCATTGAGGACAGAAGTCCTGCATAGGGAGTTAGTGCACAGTGACTCCTGTCATTAACAGTTGACACTCTTATGTATGACATCAGTGATCACCCAAGGCTCTAGACATGAGCTGCCTAGGCTCTGGAAGTCTTTTGAATCCACAAACTCAGTCAGTATTTAGACAAGGCCACAAGCCAGGTGGAAGTTCTCTCCTCCCTTCAGAGAAAAGTACATCCTTTACAAAACTGCTCTTGGACAGAAAAACTTAATCTGTCAGTGATGTTATAAAGATGTAATTACCTCTCCTTTATGTAATTTAATGTAATCCTAATAAATATACTCAGGATTTATGTTTATATGTTGACTTAAGTACTGACATTTGCTAATTCCCTACAAGAAATAGTAACAAATTAAGACAATCGAAATTGGTTCAGTAGTTTGAAAGAGAAAGGTGATGTTTCTTAGTGATTTCCTTTGGTTAAACTACTACATGGCATATGTTCTAAAAAAGCACTTATAAGTCTTATACTCACTACTAATATTATTTTGAGCAATTAATTATAAATGCTTGAGTTTTACTTTTGTTTTGACATTTTCTTGAAAATAGAATAAAGTTTCCTTAATGATTTAACCAGTTATTTTTTATTTATTATTTAAAATTTATTTATTTATTTGAAAGACAGAGACACAGAGAAGGTGAGAGAATGAGAGAGAAAACAAGAAGGAAGAGATCAAGAGAGAAGGAAAGATCAAGAGAGATCCTCTATCTGCTGGTTCCATTCCTAAATGGCTGCTAGGGCCAGGCTGAAGCCAGAAGACAGGAGCTTCCACTGAGTCTCCCACGTGGGTGCAGGGGCCCATCTTCCGCTGCCCTCACAGGTGTATTATCAGGGAGCTGGATAGGAGGAGGAGCAGCCATGACTCAAACTGGCACCCACATGGGATGCTGACACTGCAGACGGAGGCTAAACCTTCTACACCACAGCACCGGCCTCACTTTTTATTATAGTATTTTTTATACTTCTTTATTTTTTAAAAAAGGTTTAAGATAAACAAATTTCATGCAATTCTTATATATAGATTTGAGAGCATAGTGATACTTCCCAACCAACTCTCCCACTCATTCTCTTACCCTTCTTCCTCCTTGCTGTCTTATTCCCTCTCTTAATTTTTACAATGACCTACTTTCAGTTTACCTTATACTGAAAAGATTAACTCTACACTAAGTGAAGAATTCAACAAATAGTAAAAAGAAAAAAAATACTGTTGCTCAATAGAAGAGACAAGGGCTGTAAACAGTCATCAAGTCTCAAAATGTCAATTTTACTTGTATATATTACATTTTACCATACTCTATCAGTTATCAGAGGAAACACATAGTATTTGTCTTTTTGGGACTGACTTAATTCACTAAGTACAGCTGTTTCCAGTTGGATCCATTTTATTGCAAAAGATAGGATTTCATTGTTTTTACACTTGAGTAGTATTCCATTACAAATATATATATATATATATATATATCACATCTATAAATATATATATACATACACACCCCAAATTTTCTTTATGCAGTCATCAGTTGATGGAAATATGGATTGATTCTGTATCTTAGCTATTGTGAATTTAGCTGCAATAAACTGGGGATATAGATAACTCTTTCATATGCTAATTTCATTTCTTTTGGATAAATTCCCAGGAGTAGGATGCCAGGGTCATATGGTGTATGTATTTTCAGCTTTCTGGAATATCTCCATATTGTCTTCAAAAATGGCTGCACTAGTTTACATTCCCACCAACAGTGTATTAGGGATTTTTCTCTACATCTTCACCAGCATTTATTGTTTTTTGATTTCAGTGTGAGAGCCATTCTAACTGGGGTGAAGTGAAACTCATTGTGGTTTTGATTTGCATTTCCCTGATGATTAATGATCCTGAGCATTTTTCATTTTTTTTATTTATTATTTCTTAAATTTATTTGACAGATAGAGTTATTCAGTGAGAAAGAGAAAAAGAAAGGTCTTCCTTCTGTTGGTTCACTCCCCAAATGGCCGCTACAGCCGATGCTGTGCGGATCCGAAGCAGGAGCCAGGTGCTTCTCCCTGGTCTCCTATGCAGGTGCAGGGGCCCAAGCACTTGGGCCATCTTCCACTGTCCTCCTGGGCCACAGCAGAGAGCTGGACTGGAAGAGGAGCAACAGGGACTAGAACCTGGTGCCCATATGGGATGCTGCTGCCACAGGCGGAGGATTAACAAAGTGAGCCATGGCGCGGGCCCCAAGCATTTTTTCATGTGTCTGTTGGCCATTTGAATTTCTTTTCTTGAAAAAATGCTTATTGAAGCCCTTTGTCCATTGCTTAACTGGATTGTTTGTTTTGTTGTTGTTGAGTTTCTTGAGCTCTTTATAGATTCTGGATATTAATCCTTTATCAGCTGCCTAGCTTGCAAATAATTTCTCCCATTCTGTCAGTTCCTCTTCAGTTTGCGGAGTATTTCCTTGCAGTGTAGAAGCTTCTCAGCTTGACTTAATCCCATTTGTTATTTTAGCATTGGTTATCTTTGCTTCTGGGGTCTTTTCCAAGAAGTCTGGGCCTATATCAACGTTTTGCAAAGCAACCAGTGTTCTCTTCTAGTAATTTAATGATACCAGTTTGTAGATTTATATCTTGATCCATTTTTAGTTTTTGTATAATGTGTTAAATAGCTGTCATGTTTCTTAATTCTGTGTGCAGAGATTCAATTTTCCCAGTAGCATTCGTTGAAGAGACCTCTCTTTCTCCAGCAACTGATCTTAGCTCTTTTGTCAAAGATTAGCTGTTTGCATATGTGTGGATCCATTTCTGGCGTTTCTGTGTTGTTCCATGGGTCTATATGTCTATTCTTCTGCCAGTACCAGACTGTTTTGATTATAACTGCCCTGTAGTATGTCTTGAAATTTGGTATTTTGACACCACTGGCTTTGTTTTTGTTGTTTAAGAATGCTTTAGTAATTTGGAGTCTCTGGTGTTTCCTTATGATTTTTAGCATCGTTTTTCCTAAATATGAGGAGAATGTTGTTAGTATTTTGATTGGGATCACATTGAATCTATAAATTGCTTTTGGTAGTATGGACATTTTGATATTAATTCTTCCAATCCATGAACATGGAAGATTTTCCATTTTTTAATATCTTCTACTATTTATTTCTTTAATATTTTGTAATTTTCATTGTAGAGATCTTTTACTTCCTTGGTTAAATTTATTCCAAGGTATTTAATTTTTTTGTAACTATTGTGAATGGGATTGATCTTAGTTCTTTCTTAGCCTTTGTACACAAAGGTTATTTTTGTGTTTCGATTTTCTATCTTGCCGCCCTTCCAAACTCTTTTATGAATTCCGGTAGTCTCTCAGTGGAGTCTTTTGGTAACTCTGTGTATTGAATTATGTCATCTGCAAATAGGGATAATCTGACTTCCTGCTTTCCAGTGTGTATCCCTTTGATTTCTTTTTCTTATCTAATGGTTCTGGCTAAAACTTCCAGGACTACATTGAAAGCAGTGGTGAAAGTGGGCATCCTCGTCAGTTTCCAGATCTTAGTGGAAATGATTCCAGCTTTTCTCATTCAATATAATGCTGGCTATGGATTTGTCATAAATCGCCTTGTGTTGAGGAATGTTCCTTCTATACCCAATGCACTTAAGGTTTTCTTCATGAAAGGATGTTGGTTTCTCTGCATCTATTGAGATAATCATATGGTTTTATTCTTCAGTTTGTTAATGTGATGTATTAAGGTAATGCTGGCTTTGTAGGAGTTTGGGAGGATACTCTCCCTTTCAATTGTTTTGAATAGCTTGAGAAGAATTGGAATTAGTTCTTCTTTGAAACTCTTGTAAAATTCAACAGTGAAGCCATTTGGCCCTGGTCTTTTCTTTGTTGGGAGGCTCTTTATTACTGATTCAATCTCTGTCTTGGTTATTTGTCTGTTTAGGTTTTCTGTGTCTTCGTAACTCAATTTGGTAGATTGTATGTGTTCAAGAATTTATCATGTTCTTCTGGATTTTCAAATTTATTGGCATATAGCTGTTTGTAGTAATTCCTGATGATTCTTTTTATTTATGTGGTATCCATCATTATATCTCCTTTCTTTTTAATCTCCTAAGTTTATTAATTTGTATCTTCTCCCTCTTTTTTTGTTGTGTTTTTGTTTTTGTTTTTGTTTTTGGTTAGTTGTCCAATGGTGTATCTTTTTTTGTAAGAAACCAGCTCTTCATTTCATTAATCTTTTGTATTTTGGGGGGTGGGGAGTTTCAATTTTGTTTGTTCTCTAATTTAATTGTTTCTTAGCTTTACTACTAATATTTCAAGTATACACAGCTAAATGTTTTAGATTGCTTACTAATCTCCAGATACACAATAATTTCTTTGAAGGGAGTATATGAGAAACACTGGTTCAAAACTTAACCTACTATAATAAAAAACATAAAAGTATGAAAGGTGGTATTTTTGAAAATATTATGAAACAGGACTATTCCTATCAAGTAAAATGTAAATTTCCCTTCTCACCCTTTTGTGAATTCAGCATACTTTCTTTCTACCTTTCTGAATCATTCCCATTGTGTACCCAAATGCATACTCTAAAATAAAGATAAGCTCTCTAAATTCCTTCCATCAAGGGTTCCACATTTTTTCTGCTTTTCCTTATCACTGTATTTTTAGAAAGCTTTGTCCATACTTTCTTGGTTCCTCATAGCCATTTCATCCTCAGCCCACTCCAGTCTTGTACATTGACTCTGCATTTAGAAAGTCGCAGGTTGCCAGGCCATTTAGGCAATCTCACGTTGCTTTTCAGTCCCCATGTCCTGGCCCTTTCAGCACTCTACACAGCTTAACATTTACCGTACTGGAAATGCTTTTCTAAATCTAGAAATACAATAAGAAATCATAAAGTGAAACATGATGAAATATAAAATCTTATGCACATCAAAATAAAAAATCAATGTAGGTGCTGGTTGGAGGGTAAATTCCTACAGCTGTTTTGGGAATAAATTGATGTTGTCAGTTAAAGTTGGTCATGTGCATGCCTTTTAAAGCACTGGTTTCACTCCTATGCATTACACATGGCCATATTTAACTCATGCATAAGAATACAAACACAGATGTTTAAAATGGCATTGTTTTGAGTGGAAAAAATGGGAACATTATACATACATGCTTCATAAAAAATGGATGAATATATTGTGATGTAGTCTTAAGCTAGAATTTTGTACATGGATGAACCAGAGCTGCATTGCCACATTGATGGATCTTAGAAATACCAGGAGGAGCCAAAGAAAAGGAAGTTGTAAAAGATTATAAAATCTTCCCTTGGAGTGCATGGGGGATTGGTTCCAGGAAAGCTTGCATCCCCTTTATAAAATGGTATATTTGCGTATAACCTATGGACATACTGTCATATACTTTAAATCTCTAGATTAGTTTTAACACTTAATGCAATGGAAATGTTGTTTAAATAGTTGTTGCACTGTAATGTTTAGAGAATAATGACATGGAAAGAACTCTGAAGATGTTCAGTACAGACACAGATTTTTTTTTTTTTCTCGGAATATTTTGTATCCACTCCTTGGATGCCGAACTCACAGATACAACAGCTGAAAAAATTATTTGTGGTTTCATAATGAATACATGTGAAATGAAATGATTCAGACTTATACTGCAATACTAAGTGTCTAATTCAGAATCTGGTTACTGCATTGGGCTGGGAAGGGAGGGAGTTGTGACGAGGGAGTGGATGCAGGGCACTCCACAAGTATTGGTCATATATCATTTCTTAAGGCAGATAGTAGGTACACAGGTTTGGGTTATATATATATTTTTTTTTTAAAGATTTATTTATTTATTTGAAAGGCAGAGTTACAGAGAGACAGAGGAAGAAAGAGAGAAAGAGAAAGGTCTTCCACCTGCTGGTTCACTCCCCAAATAGCCACATAGACCAGAGCTGTGCCAATCTGAAGCCAGGTGCAAGGAGCTTCTTCCAGGTCTCCCACACAGGTGCGGGGGCCAAAGGACTTGGGCCACCTTCTGCTGCTTTCCCAGGCATAGCAGAAAGCAGGATTGGAAGTGGAGCAGCCGAGGTGGGATACCAGCCTTGCAGGCAGTGAGTTTACCTGCTACGCCACAGCGCCGGCCCTGATTATATTATTCTTAACAAAGTTTTCTGTGATTGATATATTTACTACATTTTTGTAAAACGGTGAGCAATAAAAAAGGCAATGTAGGTAAAATGATGCAAAGATGATATTTAATGAAAATATACAAATTCCTAACAGTTAAAAGCACTGGTATGCATACTTTTAGATGAGCCAGATAACTGAACAGAAAATTCAAAAAAGGGCTGGGGGGATGTTTGAAAATGTGGCCAAGCTCAACAGTAAGCAAAGAAATGTGATGCTGAATTCTCAACCATTTGAAAAATATGTGAAGTCTCTCATGTTGCAGAGGCATGTTCAAATATTGCACCCAGTCAATTTACTTCCAATAATCTGTTTTCAGAAAACCATCACTGACTTCTAAACTATTATCTTTGAATTATAGAATTAGAGATGTGCAGCAGACATTGTGGTGCAGTGGGTTACACTACTACTTGGGACACCTGCATCCATATCAGAGTGCAGGTTTGAGTCCTGGCTACCACGCTTCTGATCCAGCTTCCTGCTAACGCATGTTGGGAGGCAGCAGATGAAGACTTAAGTGCATGGGCCCCTGAGACCCATATGATAGAACTGATGGAAATTTGGATCCCTGACTTCTGTATGGACCAGTCCTGAGTACTGGGAGCATCTGGGGACTGAACCAGTAGACGGAAAATTTGCGTGTGTGTGTGTGTGTGTGTGTGTGTGTGTCTGTGCGCGCGTGCGTGCGCGCCCTCCCCTCCCCCACCACTCTTGTTTTCAAATAAACATTAAAAAAGAGGGGACCAGTGTTGTGGCACAGTAGGTTAAGCTAACAATGCTTGTGACAGTGGCATGCTATAACAGAGTACCTGTTAAGAGTCTTGGCTGCTCTGCTTCAGATCCAGTTTTCTGCTAATGTGCCTGGGAAGGTTGTGGAAGGCAGCCTAAGTACTTAGACTCCTGCCACCCATGAGGTAGAATAGGGTGGAGTGTCTAGCTCCTGGCTTTTGAAGGCCGTTTGAGAAATGAAACAGTGGATGAAAGATCAATCTCTGCTCTGCCTTTCAAATATATAAATAAGTAAATCTTTAAAAGAAAGAAAAGAACTATAGGTCTTTTTAAATTTTGTTATTTTTAATATCACCTTTAGTATTATAAAAAATAAGTGACATTAGTACTTATTGGTAGTTTACATATAAATCAGTGTATCTCCTATCCCTTTGTAGCCAATTAAAGTGGGAAATAATGTATAAATATCTATTTTAAAAAGATTTATTTATTTGAGAGGCAGAATTATAGAGAGAGACAGAGAGAGAGGTCTTCCATCCACTGGTTCACTCCCCCAAATGGCTGCCACAGCCAGAGCTGCACCAATCAAGCCAGGAGCCAGGAGCTTCTTCCAGGTCTCCCACACGGGTGCAGGGGCTCAAGTACATGGGCCATCTTCCACTGCTTTCCCAGGCCATTAGCAGGGAGCTGCATCGGAAGTGGAGCACCTGGGACTAGAACTGGCACCCATATGGGATGCTGGCACACCTGGAGGAGGCTTAACTTACTATGCCACAGTACCGGTTTCAATGTATAAATATCTTAAATTGTATTATTTTGCTCTTCAGTAAGCAAACTGATTTGAAAATAATGTTGATGTATGTATGTAAACTTAGTTTTCTATTTTCTTTTTAGGAAAAAAAAGAAAGGCAAGAAAGAATTGAACGAAAACAAAAGAAACGCCATTCCTTTCTTGAAAATGAGGCACTTCCTCCATGGAGCCCTCCAAGCAGAACTGTGATCTCAAAAGTGTTTTGATAATTCTCGTTCTCAGATATTTAGCTATTTACCAATTTGCTGATTTTAACCAGGGGCTTAAAACCATTCAATTAGTTATAGTTAGAAGAATCTATTTTAATAAGTTGCCAGACTCTTCTGCTGACAATGAAAAATATACTTAGGAATGGAATCAGTGAAAACATTTTTCAAACTGTAGATAACTGCTTCAAATGAAAAGCTAATAATCAAACTTCTTTCTATTCAAATGCATAAAGCTTTATCATGTCTTGATAATCTGGTAATTCTTAACACAGTGTGATCCATGATCACTTTAACTAAGTCTTCTGCATGTTATTTAAATTTGTTCCCAGTAATAAGGGAAATCATTGAGGTATCATCATAGAAAACACTGAATCTGTTGATGATTTTGCCTCAAGGTTTCAGTTTTTAAATGAATGTTTGCATATATTTTATCTGAAACTGATATTTAGCTCCAAGCTGTGTTTGCACTGTGCAAATTAGAACTTGGCCAACAGAGGCAATAGTTCAAGTAGAACTCTAATCAATGAAGCATTTTAAGAATTCTGCCTTATGCTTTAATATGACTGTACTTTATCTGTTCCAAGCTTACGTGACAATCATAGGCACTTTATAATGAGCTCACCTCTGAAATTTCTCTTTCTAAATTTTATCTTACTTTCCTTATTATTTAAATGATACCAATAGATACCAACGTCATGGCAGTGATACACGTAGACCTTAGTAATGGAAATTCCTCAGGAGTTCAAGGTCCTTATTGCCACAAAGAGGATTAAGGCAATGATTGTCCTCAACAATCCAGTTTTAGAACTTATATATTTAGAAGACACTTAGCTGTATGGGAAAAAATTTATGGAAAATGTTTGAAGAACTTTTATTTATTTATTTGATCTCTGCATATCCATGTATTAACTAGTCTCATACTTGACATGGAACATCTAAGTTATGACTTAATATTCATTCTCACAGGTGAGATGCTACTTTAGCCAATAGTGCAATCCAGAAATGCAAAGGTGATGGATGAGAATAAGCAGTTACTATTTATTGAGCACCTATTATATATATATGTAATTCCTGCTAGATCTTTACAAATGTTATTTCTCATCTTTATAAAAACTATTTAGATACTGTCCATTCATTTTACAGAGACTTAGGAAAACCAAATAACTTGCCATCCATCTAGCATGTGGCTGAGTTGGAGTCAGAACTGTTGAAGTCTGACTAAGGCTGCCTCCCTCCAGAATCCCTGTGCTCTTTTTCACACTACATGTAACCTCAAAAATCGTAAGTGCTTTCAAGATTTCTGAATCATAGCAACCTTACAAATCATGTATTATTACTCAGAAACTACTTTTCCCAAGAAATACATGCCTAATTGGTATTAGCGATAGTGGACCTCATTAAATCTATAAAATGAAGCAAGAATTCATAGCGTTTAAGGAGTTGCTCAAACATCTTGTATCTCGTATTGGAACGTCAGAAAGTCAGCACATCCACTACTGTGAAACGGTCACTCGGGGTTCCACACACCCATCCCTCTCCTTGCTGCAGTGCCTGTGCAAGTTCCAGAAGATGCCGAGGATCCTTCAGAGGCTGTTCAGTGCCACAGGTGAGTGTGAGATGTGTGTGAAGAAGGATGCCTTGTCACGCTGCCTCATCTAGAACACTTCCTGCAGTGGGCATGACTGCCAGCAATGCGGATTATCAGCATGGGGATTGCCGCCTCTTACTCATCGGGTGCTCTCCACAGGACCTGACACCTTGCCTACCAGAACAGAGCACTAAGTGTTTATTGTTTTGAATCAGCTCTTCAGAGCCAAAAAGATATTTGCAAATTCCAGGGAGGCAAAAAGAAATGTAAAAAAAGGTACACTACTCTGGGGAATGTGAGATCATAAATGTGTGTGTTCTGGACTTCACATTAATTATTTACTTGGGTTTTCTTACTTTCTCGTACATTATTACATTTAGTGGCTTACCATTACCTCATAGATTGTTGTGAGAATTGAATGAGATCAATTAATGTAAAGTACTAGGAACATTAGAAGGACTGCATAAATGTTCGTTTTTGACATCATTTCCTTTCAATCATGAGCCCCACATTCACTCCACTTACCTAGAATGTGAGAAGGTGAACATAACTAGGGTAACAGTGTGTATTTAGCACTAGATGATTTTCCCATATGGGAAGAAATCTTGGCCTTTCTGGTCATTATAGGCTATACAACTGAACAATAAAGTGGTGCTTTCTATCAGGGCCTTCCTAAGAAAGAAAACTAAATTTCTTCTTAGAGTTGCTTCTGATGTAGGAGGAAATGAGAAATTGAGGTGTTTGGAAAAAACCAAGTCATTTGTCTCAAATGTGAATGGTGGTTTCTGTCTTACTGTGATAAATAATATATTATTTCTTGTGAATAATATGCTAAATATCATCTGAATCAGTGAAGTCATCTCTTCTCCTGTAGCAAAAACAAAGCTGAGTTTTTGGGAAGGGAGTGAAGATACGGTACTGTATTATTGTTTACTGCCTGAGAGGCAAAGGGGAGAATCACACTTGGTAGTATTATCTAGAAAATATTTAATGTATTTAAGGGGTATACCTTTCTCATATTCCCTTAGAAATTATCAAGTATCAGTATAGATATTTATTCATTAAGTTTTCATTAATACTATTAGGGCATGTATAATTCAAATTAAGGACCCATTGAAGTTCATACTAAACTTCCCACTTACAAATAACATTGATCACTTGAATGCTAAGATTTTTAGAAGTACATAGGAATTATATGAATATTTTAAATTGCTATAAACATGTTTCCTTGGAATATTTTAATACATTTAAATATTAGAACTTCAACTTTTACATAGAATTTAAGTTTCATAATAACCAAGAAAACAGTGAAGTGAAAGAAAGTAAGAATTATTCATGGGATAATAATATTACAGTGGTTTGTAGTTACATCACTGAAAATTTTGGCTAATTCTGTATTTCAAATTGTGTTGGAACTGGTATTTTTCACTGTTGCTGAAGCAGTACCCAATACTAATTAGTGGCCCATGGTTATGTTCCTCAATGTGCAGTAACTGCACCTCAAAGAGATTTTAGTAATTTGACCAACTTGATCCAAACACTTTATTTCTAAAGTGTACAAACTGATTTCCAAAGATTTTGATTTAGCCAGTCACACAGCTGTAGGGTATCCAGAGTTAGAACTCAGGTTTCTTAGTTGGATATGTCCTCCATTCCACAACTGCTAAAATGTTCACACTAACTTTTGTACTGTGTTTTTTTTATTATTTGAGTTATGTCTTCTCATCTGTTTCCTTATTTCTCCAGTGCCCTCCCCATAACTGAGCATCAGATCAAAGCAGTTTGGATACCTACACTATCATAAGGTGTGGGAAACTGAAGTTGCTTAAGTCTTGAGTCATGATCTAAGATACAACAAAGAAAATAAGTTTCACAAAACAGGAAAAATTACATGTTGGTCAAAATCATTCCCAATTATAAACTAGCAGAGGAAACATCAATTCCCCTAATTTAATCTTGGCTCTGATTTCAGTAGTGCTTTTAAACAATATTTAAACCTACCTGCTTCCATTCTATGTAAAACAAATATGGTAAATTTTCCTAGTTTATTATACTGGCTGATAGAACAATAAAATGCTATGTAGATGTTAACTTGGAGACCTCTCTGTGTTTTTTTAATTCAAATTTCATGTGATTATGTTATTTTGAATGTTTATGCTACATTAAATTGTATTATGTTAACTTAAGTTGACAAAACTCATGGTATTGAATTTAGAATATTTTAGGAGTCATTGAGGGATATGTATTCATGTTTATGTCTGTGTTTTGATAGTATGTTTTCATGTAATGCTTAATTTATTAAAGTCAACCATTCAAGATATATTCTATTGATTGATGTCATTTATTGACTGTGTGCTAAAATTTTATCTCATGGTGTTAGAGAACTTTGTGTGACTTCTAGTTGTGGGCCAGAGATAAAATAATCATGTAATATTGATATACCTTTCATAAGAAATGGCTGAAAATTTGTATATAAAATTTTATTTTTAACTTAAATTGGATTTATAACATTTTTACACAAACTATAAAGGCTATATAATCATTAAATAAGAAAATTAAAATAAGCAGAAATCACCCATGATCCCATTACCCAAAGATAATTATGGTTAAAATTATTTTTTACTCTTCCGATTTTTAGTTTCTAATACCTTTTCCCCATAGCTGAAATTATACTGAAAATGAAAAAAAGGATAGTTCCTTCCACCTCTGTCTCTCTTTCTTTTGTGACCTGTGTATATGTACATACAAGTGTTAATGCATCCATAATATAGAAATGCAAATATTAACACATGCATACAATCAAAATAGTCTTTTATTGTTTGAATTGAATGATCAAACTATGTATCTGATAATAAGATTTTTCCACAGAACAATTTATCATGAGATAGATCCATACTAATATAACTTCCTAGACATTTTTGGTACTACAGGAACAATTTATTCAACCTGTTAATGGACACTGTTTTTCTTAACAAATGTTTGCTTTGGAAAATAATATGATACAGTCATTATCCTCACCAATATGGGTGACCTCATTAAATCTCCAAGATAGAATAGGATTTAAAATACTTAAGGAGTTATTCACATATCTTTAATTAAGTAATAGAGTGCCAGAAAACTCAGTAGGTTATACAGCAGGCTTTGAGATACCCACTAAAGAGGTTTTACACACAGGATTAACCTTGTCGCAGTGTATTTCGAAGATAATAAAGATGCCATGGGTCTTCCTGCAAGACCATATCAGTGCTGTAGATAAAAAATTTCATATGTAATACTAGAACCAGTTTTATGCTGCTAGAACTAGGAGACAAAATGAGTACTGCTGAATGGATACAGAGCTTCAGTTTTGTTAGATAGGAGATAATTCTGGAGACAGTGGCATAACATTGTGAAAATGCATAACTTACTGAATTGTTCACTTAAAGTGGTTGAGAAGATAGATTTTATGTACATTTTACTTCAATTTTAAAAAGGTGTCCCCAAATGCTTACTTTTTCATACACAGGAGTGATAATAGAAAACTTCTCCCTGTTACAGAATGCCGCTTTTGGTCTGACTGGACCAATCTGCTCATTCCATGGCAGTCCAGTTACAGTTGCTAGAATATGAGATGTTACTGGGCTTAAAAAACAACTGAAAGCTAAGGAAGAACGGAACAATTCCAAAAATCTTCTAATAACTCTCTGCCTTTCAGATATTTTTCTTAAATATTCTTGCTCAATTTTTGCAATAAGCTTTAGTGTTCCTGGTAAGTATTTAATGCATAAAATACATTTACGTTTTTTGCACAATCACAGTAACCATGCACTATAATAAAATCTGTTGGATTGACACAGTGTGAAACATATCTTTCTAGAGGCTGACTAATTTTGTTATATTTTTGTTATGTGTGGCTATTTAACTTTTAAAAATAACTAACCCCATGGTGTTCATGGATCAGCTGGGAGAAAAGTCGGTTGTGATCCCACCATCCCAGACATACACAGGTTACCTTATTCTCAAGTTTCCTTACCCTTGGATAACTGTTACTGCAAACCTTATCTTTGTAAGTACATGTTTCTCTCACTTGAATAACCTCATGAGGTCAGGAAATCTTATACATTTTGATAATTCTATTATTCTTTTGTTTATTTTTACTTGAAACACAGTGACAGGGAGAGACAGAGACAGATCCCTCATCTGCTGATCTACTCCAACAGCTGGGGCTGGACAAGGCTTAAGGCAGAAGCCAGGAAATCCATCCAGGTCTCCTGTGTGGGTACCATGAACCCGAGCACTTGGGCCATCATACGTTACCTTCTCAGGCACATTAGCAAGAACCTGGATGGGAAGTGGAAGAACCAAGACTAGGGCTGGCCCTCTGAAGCAGTGTCTTAACCTGCCGCACCATAACATATGCCCAATTTTATACATTTTGACATTTCTACTTTATCATTGGATTCTGGATAAATATTGTATGGCTGATAAAAGAGCAAGTTACAAACAGAATATAAAATAGTGCATGAGTGTTTATAATGAATACATACATATTTGAACAAGGATTCTAAACTGATGAAGATATATAAATTTTAAAATATTAAAATGTTACAAATTACAAGTATTATAATGGTTACAAATAGGTTGAAACTTTCGGATATGACATCTCTTTTTCAGTCCTAATAAAAACAAAGAAAAATGGGGAAAAATGGCTTGTGTGTGCATGCAAGTGTATATCTTTGCAATAAGTTGGGAAAGAAAACAAGTCCAAATATATTCCCATATATTCTCATATTTACAGTTAAGTAGATAAAGCCTGATCCAAATAATTCTTTCTTTGGTGTCTCAATACTTTCTTCTTGTGAAAATATTAAACAATAACAGGAAAAAAGAAAGAGGAAAATCCCAAGACTCACTGGCTTATTCAGCATAAAGGATGAATCCTAGACAGAGTGATCTTTTGACTAGAGTTGAAACTTGGCTATATCCAAGAGTGGAAGCCACATTCTGCAGCTATGCCTCAACCCTGGCCAATGCACTGCATAGTTGCTGTGTGACTGGTTCTGTTTATCTTATCACTGGATCTAGAGCTAAGAGCTATGCCTCTGAAGCTCGTGATGCTTTTCACGTATTCTTACCACTCATCCTTCAGCCACAGGAAAAAGAATGTCATCAACCTGACTATTGTATTTAGTAATATATCATTTAAAAACATTATTTAAAAACAAATGGAATGTTTTCTAGGCCTACCAAGTTCTTTCAAGGTGCACTGGATAAAACAGATAAAAATTTAAATGATTTCTTTCAAAAATCACTGTGATGAGTAGACCATAAACTATATCCTATTCCAACATTAATAGATTTTATAAAATATGAAATATATTCTACATCCTTTTAACAAAAAAAACATTTGCCAGAGGTGAACCTGTTAGTAGTACTCAGTAGTTTAACATGTTTTGAAGATTGTTTTTTTTTTTTTCAATTAGGTTATATGAAGCTATCTTCCAAAAAAGAAATGCCCTACATCGCAACTTAAAGTTCTTGATAAAATACATGTAAAGGATGTAGTGAGATATTATACTGGCAATGGTATAAAGAAACCTGCAATATGTTGAATAATTGCTAATACAGGTAAATGAGCACTGAGTTTGGAGGCAGAAGTTCTGCCCTGGATCTTGGCACCTCTCCTGGGCAAGTCTAGAGGTCTTTAGGTAAGACACCTAACCTACCCAAATGTCAATTTCTTTATTTATACAAAAAAGGTGAGATATTATTTGCCTATTTCAAATGATGAGCTAGGGAGATAATGTTAATAGTGCTATATGAAAGTAATAATAACTTTTTAAAGATTTATTTATTTGAGAGGCAGAGTTACAGACAGAGAGAGGTAGAGAAAGAGAGTGAGATCTTCCATCCTCTGGTTCACTCCCCAAATGGCCATAATGGCTGGTACTGGGTCAACACAAAGCCAGGAGCCAGGAGTTTCTTCCAGGTCCCCAACGTGGGTGCAGGGACCCAAGCAGTTGGGTCATCTTCCACTGCTTTCCCAGGCCATACCAGAGAGCTGGATTGAAGAGGAGCAGCTGGGACACAAACTGGTACCCATATGGGATGCTGGCACTCCAAGTAGAGGCTTAATGTCAGTCCCAGAAATGTATTATTTATATAAAACCCAAATTATGAAATGTGTGTTGTTTTGATCAACGATATACACTAATAACTGTAAAGACAGACTAATCCCCAAAGAAAAAAAACAATCAAAAGTTATGATCACAGACAATAAGACAATATTAAAATTTGAATTTACATTTTAATGTGGCAGGAAAGTACAACAGAATCATAAAAAAATTCTACCTTAGAATATATTAGAGGTTGGCACTGTGGAGCAGCAGGTAGTCACCAGTTGGGGATCGCCTCTCAGCCTTTGGGCTAAGATCAAGTGTCACCAACTGGGATGCCCAGATTCCACATTGGGGTGCCTGCGATGCAGTCCCACCTTTGCTTCTGATCCAGCTTCTTGCTAACGTGTACCCTGGGGGGCAGCAGACTGCGGCACAAATACTTGGGTCACTGCCACCCATGTGGGAAAATCAGATGGAATTCCTGGCTCCTGCCCTTGCTATGACCCAGTCAGTCTCTGACTCTCTCTCTCTCTAGCTCAATGTTTTCCAAATAAATGGATATTTTCTTAAAAGAGAACAATAAAAGCTACAAATATAATTCCAATCTCTCTTTTGATTATTTTTTCTTTTACTTAATCAATGAGCTTATCTTAGATAAATCAAGAGTTTGTCAGCAGTCAAAGGAAAAAGTCTCATTTTATAGAAAAAAACGTAATACAGAGCTGCTTGAGTCAAAGTCACCTGCTGCCTCCCAGGAAGTACATTGGCAGGAAGCTGGAACTGGAAGCAGAGCCAGGACCCAAACCCAGGCACTGTGGATGTGAAGGCAGGCATTTCAACTGCCAGCTGAAGCGTTCTGCCAAACATATGCCAGTTTCTTATTTTCTTCCATAGTCTTTAAACTTTTTGTGGTGTCTTTTACTCTTTATTTAAAATTATTACGCGTTGATGTAGAATTTAAATTATTAGCATGAATTTAATAATCATCTTTATACTCTGCAATGGTAGTTTAAATGCAAATACAAGAGCCTTTAACTCACGCTAAAATTACACAATTTGTACTTCTTTTTCCATATATGCATTTTGTTCTCAATAAATGCATAGAAATGGTGCACAAAACTTGCTCAATTCATTTTTTTCATGCCCTCATATGTGCACATTCCACCAACGCTATGCTTTCGGCTTCCTGATGAATAGGGAAGGAAAAAAAGGGAACAGGACTGTGAGTAACCCTCTATTTCCCTCTCCTTCCATAGTGTAAGTGGAGCCCAACACTGGAAGGACCATCAATCAGAAGGACAGGGTAAGACTGCGTGGTTGTTTGTGTTTGCTAGAATGCCACCACCAGGAAGATGCTAACTGGGACACTTCCTTCCATATCTGATTTCCTGAGTTCCAACCCTGGCTCCACTCCTGATTTAGGCTTCTTGCTGATATGCACACTAGGAGGTGGTAGGGTCCCAGCCACCCAGGTGAAAGACTTGATTGAGTTTTCCTTGGCCTGGCCCAGCCCTGGCATTGCAGACGTTTGGAGAATGAACCTGTGTATGGGAGCACCCCCCACCCACTTTCTGTTTCTCTATGTGTTTCTCAAATAATAAATAAAAACATACATTTAAATAGAATTGCACTGTTGGGACCGGTGCTGTGACATAGCTCATTAAGCCTCTGCCTGTGGCACTGACATCCTAAAAGGCCTGGGAAAGCTGTGTGGCCCCTGCACCCACATGGGGAACCTGGAGGAAGCTCCCAGCTCCAGCCGTTGCAGCCATCTGAAGAGTGAACCAGAAGATGGAAGACCTCTCTCTGTCTCTCTCTCTCTCTGTCTATAACTCTGCCTCTCAAATAAACGAATACATATTTAAAAAAAAAATGCCATTGTCTTCTTTTACATTCAAAACAAAAGAACTCTGTTTCCAGGCAAGGGTCTCTCCAAACCATACCAGATTTTGAGAACAGGCAAAGACTGGCATTAAAAGAAAATGGGAATGTCTAGTAAAATCAAGTGAATGAATAGATAGCAAGAAACAACCTTTCATAAAGAAGCTGCCCTGAGAGCACCTTGTGTAGTAGAAGAAGGCGTTTGTTCATTTCTAGTCCACATAGCCTGATCACTCGTTCCTACTCAGAAACTCTCTATCACATTGTGTGGTTTGCTGTTCCAATGCTCAATGCACTGCGCAGATTACAAAATGTGCTTTGGCATTTGTTACATACAACTGCTAGCACCTGGGCTTCTTGCTGTTCATCCAGAATCAATATCTAACTTGGTAATCATTTTCCATGTGAAATTTATTTCCATGAAAACTTCTTGAGTTTGGGGGATATTTGGGGATATATACAAAGGTCAGTTCCTTCTGTGAAAATATTGGGAATAACTGTAGACAAGGCGTCAGAAGTCTTAAAAGCTATGTGACTATAATAAATTACCACATACTGGGTGGTTTACAAAGACCAGAAATTTTGTACAGTGCTGGAGACTGTGAAGTCCAGGACCAAGACACTGGAATAGTTCAGGCCTGATGAGGACTGGCTTCCTGGATTATGGAAGGCTGTCTTTGTACTGTAACCCACATGGCAGAAGGAGGAAAGGAATTCTCTGTGGTACTAATCTCAAGGCAGGGGCCTCATGACAAAATGGCCTCCCAAAGGCCCCAGGTCCTAGTCACCTCAGGTGCTGCAATTTCAACCTCTGCATTTTGGTGGAACACATTCAGTCTACAGTGGCTTCCAACAGCCAAAATTATAAACATCCTGTGTTGATCAACAAGTGTGTATACATTTGATGGAATATCATTCAGCCTGCAAAAGCAAGGAAATTCTGACACATTACAAAACAACTCATCCATGAACCTCAAATACTCTTACACTGTGTGAAAAAAGCCAGACACAAAAGTACAGATATTGTACGAGTCCATCTTTTAGTGGAACCTATTGTAGGCAAGCACAAAGAGACACAAAGCAGAATGATGGTTTCTGGAGGGGGTCTGGGCATAGGAGCATTGTGGAGTTACTGTTTCATGGGCACAGTTTTAGTTTGGAATAATGAAAGTTCTAGAGATGAATGGTGGTGACACAATGAAGGGGAAGTACTTAATGCCCTGAACCGTGCATTTCAAATGGACAAGATAGAGATGGTAAGTTTTCTATTACATATGTGTGACTGACTTCAGGAAATCCCATTTATTTTCTCTATACTACAGTTTCCTTATCTGGAAGCAGAGAAGAAAATGTAGCATGCCCTATCCAACACAGACCTTCACCGCACATCCTCAGCTCAGCCTTCCCTCACACATCCATACAAAATGTGGTTAATGCGGATCTAGTGACAGAACATAAATATGAAATGGCTTTGCAAGTAGTAGATGTCTACGAGTAGTGGTTGTTTAACTTTGACTATATGTCATGACTGATTTAAGGGCTTTACATACAAACTTATTTAATCCTCATAAAATACATTTCTATGTATTTTATAAAATACATTAGATAGGGACTATGCATCTAATGTTTATATATAATGTATATATCTAATGTATTTTAAGAATACATTAGATATGGACTATTGTTTCCATTGTCCAGATGTGCTAGCTGATGCGTGGGGAAAGTAAGCTCTGAAATGTACATAGTTGGTAAGAGATGAGGTGAGGACTTAAAACTAGTAAGTCTGATTCTAGATGCTCAACTTCTGACTTAGACCGGTGGGTATCAGCTGAAGTCTGGAGACAATTGTGATTGTCACAAATCAGGCATGCTACTGGCAGTTAACTAGTAGTTATGTGAAGGAAGGAGCTTCACAGGGTTCTGGTCAACTGATCTTTGCAAACACTTCCAAGAGCACCCGGGGGAAAGGATGTTTCTTTCATATGTGGTGTTGGGAAAACTCACTATCCATGCACCGAAGTATTAATTTAGAGCCTCATCTCAAAGCACACACAAAAATCAAATCCAAATGGATTAAAGATGTAAAAATAGTACCTGAAATTGTAAAAGCACTATCAGAAAAGAGAGAAAAAGATCCTACCATTGGTGTGGGCAATGATTTCATAGCCATGACCCCAAAAGCAGAAGCATAAATAGCTATTGGTATTATATCAAATTAAAAAGTCTCTGGACAACAAAGAAAAACCATCAGAAAAGTTCAGAGACAGAATAAGGAATACAGAAAACATTTCCAAACCACAGAATTGGTATGGAATGAACATCCTAAATATATCAGACTCAAACAATTCAATAATAAGAAAACAAATAACCAGATTAAAAATGGGCAAACAGCTTGAATGGATATTTCTCAAAAGAATTAATGCAAATGACTTTCAGGAATATAGGTCACTAACCAACAGAGAAATTCACATTGAAACCATAATGAGAATCGCCTAACACCTGTTAGAATGGCTATTATCAAAAAGGTGAAAGACAACAAGTGCTGAGAAGGATGCTAGAGAATGAAACTTTACTATTACTTATTTGAAAAAGCAACACAGAGAGAGGTCTTCTATCCACCTGCTCACTCCCTATATGGCTTTGTAATAGCTGGCATATGACCAGGTCAAAGCCAGGAGCCAGGAACACAAACCAGGTCTTCTCCCTGGGTTGGAGGGACCCAACCACTTGAGTCATCATTGCCTGCTGCCTCCCACGGTGCAGGAAGCTGGAATCAGAAGCAGAGCCAAGGCTGGAACTCAGACCTTCCCATGTGGCACATGGGCATCCCAAGTGGCCTCTTAACCACTGTGCTAAATGCCAACCTCCCTCCATCCCCCTTCCCAAAAACGAAGCTGCTGTATCCTGTTGTGCAGCAGGTGAGTTAGCACAAACATTACAGAAAGCTGCGTGGATGGTCCTCAAAAGCAAACACGAATTACCACATAATCCAGCAGCCCCACTGCTGGATCCTTATATAACGGGGATGAAATCAGTATGTCAAGCAGATACGTGCACAGATTTCTAGTACATCAAAGGGTTTTAAATCAGTTACTAAAAGGCTCCACATTCACCCAAGAACACCATGCAAATATTTTAAATGCTAGATTCAACATGTGTTATTAACTGCTTATACAATAAATCCCTCTCATTCCATCCCCCAGCTTTAGGGCACTTTTTTGTTATCTTTTAATATTTATAGATTTATTTGAAACGCAGAGTTACAGAGTGAGAGGGAGAGACAGCGCCAGCTTCCACCAGCTCTGTCACTCTGCGAAGGGCCCTAAGCCAGGAGCCTGGAACGCCCTCCGGTTCTCATGTGGGTGGCAGGGGCCCAGCTGACGGTTTAACCCTCCTGGGCCACAACGCCCGCCTCGGGCTCATTAATAAGGTTACTGAGAAGAACCTAAAGCAACAACCGCCAACCGCAGCCAGTGCCTGCTCGCGCTTCCAGCCGCGGAGCCTCGGGCCATTCCCTGGGGCTTGCTTACTTTCCTTGCTGGTATTTACTGAGCCACCTCTGCAGGGTCACATGCTGCCTCCCGGGGTGAGCAGGAGCCGGAGCCGGAAACTGGAGTCAGCAGCAGATCCCGGACCGGAGCAAAAGGCCCCGGGCTGGGCTGTGGGACCCGGGAGGCCAAGGGCCCAACCCCCGTCTTAAGGGCCGCAGAGGCGAGCCCCGCCCCCTCGGCACTGAAGCCTGTGGGCGAGGAGCCGAGTTGCATGGATTTTTCCCTTGAAAAATCCTGAAGGCTCTTCCTAGGCCTGCGTTGAATATGCTTAAACACATCTAAGAATCCCCATATAAAGTACCAGTTAGTACCTTACAAGTTTTCTTTTGTTCTTTAAATCATTTATTTGCATTTTTGGGTTATGTGAAACAGGCATCTACTCAAGGGCGTTGGCTGTTGAGGAGTCTGGAGGAGGGGAGGGTGTGTGTGCAGAGGTCAGTGCTGGGCAACTCTTCCCATTGTCAGGAAAGAGAGGCAGGGAGGAAAATCCGGGCGCAGCTAAATGACTAAAATGAACCCGGCAGGGCCACGTTCAGACGTCAGTGGAGGGAAGCTGCCTGGCCAGGAACGCGTCTCCAGGTAGGTCTAGGCTCCCTGGCTGGGGCTCATGGCTCCCACCCGATATGAGCAGCCAGTCACCCAGGCCGACACTGCACAGTCGGAGGGGGTGGGATAGGGGGCATCTGGGCACTCCCCTCTTGTCCATCTGCTGGTGCTGCTTCTCGCAAGCACGGTTACCCAGCCCGTTCTTCCTTGTGGCTTCACTTACAGGCTGGACCTCGGAGTCTCCATCTGGAACGGGGGACCTCCAACCCATGCAGATGCCAGCAGCCTCAGGAGACGGTCTTGGCAATGAGATGGAGATGACAGCGCCTGAGACCTGAGCTCACCCCTGGCTTCCGGATCACCTCCCAGTGAGTCCTTCCCGGTGTCTGAGCTTCCACTTCCTCCTCTGGTGCGGACCCCTCCTGCACCGGCTGGTGACAGCAGACAGGAGGGCTTGGATGCCGGCCCTGGCTCTTCCCTGCCTCTCTGCTGCTCCTTTCAGACAGCTGTTAACGGCGGGAGCGGGGGGGGGGGGGGGGGGCCTTGGAGGGAGGCAAGCCTGCCCACTGCTCTGCCTGGGTACACATGTGGCCAAGCACCTGACCAGGCTCCTCACCTGCTGCCCCTTTTGGGTGCCACGGACAGGTAGTGCCAAGATGCCAGCCTCCAGTTTCCCACTGCAGGCGTCCCCTAGGGCTGGTCTTGAGCCAGAGAAGCCAGGCCGATGAGCCACTCCTGGGGAGCTTAAGGGAAAAGGCTGCTGTCTGGGAAGACAGCGTTGAAAGAAAGGGCAAAGCTCAAATGCCTTTGAAGTCCTGCATGCCGGGCACCCCACGAGGCTCCAGCCTGGGCTGTCTCCTCCTCGCCTCTCAGAATCAAGGAAGAGAATCCGGTCGGGTGGCGTTTGGGTGAGGTGTCCAGCCTGGACCAATCAGCCGTGGCAGGGGCGGGCCCACGTAGCACGGACTGAGTCTGGCCAGTCCCAGGGAAGGGAGGATCTGTGGGCGGGGCACTAACTGATGGGCTGGAGGTTGACCGGCACCCCAACCAAGGTCCCTCTTTACCGTGTCCCAGCATCCTGGGATCAACTCTGGCAAAACCCTTGTCAGCAGACTCAAGCCCAGAGTTCACAATTTAGCAGGTAAGTAGGGTTTTAAATCATAACGGACCTCCTGTTAGGAGGACAGGGAGAAAAAAAAAAATGAGCAGCCTAAAGAAAATCTCTACTTCATAAGAATAGTAATCACTATCACAGTAACAAATTCGGAGAGTCGTTTAAAAATCCGATATAGCTCACCTTATTCATAGTCTCCTTTCTTACTCGCCTTTTATTGCTTACAGCTACTTGCATGCAAAACAAAGTCCCAGAGAAACTAAGTTCCTAGGGGTGACTACACATGTGTGAAAGAGGATCCATTGCAGTAGGAGAAGGCTAGACATTTTTCCAAGTTCCACATTCTCGATTGGATTATGTGTTTCTCCGTAGCAAGCAATGCTTGGCTTTCATGAAAAGAGCACTTTGAAGGGAGTTTGCTAAAAGCAAGGTCACTCAATCACTTTGGGCACGTCACTGTTGATGGTGTTATTCACGTATAACTCCAGATGGGCTTCTGCCTCCCAAATTAGATCACTGAAAAATGCCACGGAGAACTACAACTTCATTCATGACGAGGGCATTAGGCTCCTCTCGTTAAAAGCATGATGCGCGGACACACATGGTGCGGTAGGAAAACCAGGGCCTTTTTGGGGAACAGAGGAGGGGTGTTAATTTTCGGTAACAGGAAACAATGAATAACGTAAAATTGCACCAACTGGTTGCTCTGTGCTGTGCCCGGTGGTCCTGTGTGCCATAGATCTCCCATTAGTCTAACAATCCTGAAAAGTCTTTGTTTTCTAACTTCATACTCTAATCACCTGGGATTATTGGTTTGCCTTGTATTTCCTTAGACAGTTGTTCTCCATTTAGGAAAAGAGGGTGCATAATGCAATAGTTAAAGGCTCTTTCCATTTAGAACTGTTTTTGCGGTTATGATGAAGGTCAGGTATGGCTTTAGAAAGTCCCCAATTCTCCCTACGATGGCGCCGCCCACGGCTAGAGGGCTCTGAGCCTCCGTACCTGAGTTCAGGGAGGGTCAGGCCCCTCTCCTCCCTCAGGGGAGCCTTGGGTTGGAGAAAAGTGAATGAGAAAGTCCTTATATTCCTAGGTTGGAGGAATAAGCGCCCAGAGCATCTCTCACTTTCGGGGACGTCTTCCCCTAGCTGCTACCCACTGGGCTTGAGATGGGTCCCCCCGCGGCGACTTTCGCCTCCCTGAAGTGGGCCTCTGGGGGCACACCCACTGTCCCCACGGTGGCTCCCCGGGGCCTGCCCGGCACACAGCGCACCCCGGCGGCCGCGCGGCTTCCCTCTCGCCCGGGACGCTTGGCTTCCGCAGAGCTCGCGGGTCCCCTTCACTGCCCTGTTTCCAGGGTGTTGGCGAGCCTGCGAGAGGTCCTCTCGGTCAAGCCCAGGGGACATCCCGGGGCGGCGGCACCCTGGAAACCCAGGGCCGTGACTCTGCAGAAGGCTGGCCCGGAGGGGGGCAACTTGGCCGCAGGTGAATTGGGAGGGCCTGGGACGGAGGGCCCTGCGCCTCGGACGGAGGCATCCCTGCCGGGCTGCGAAACCCAGAGGCCGGCGCCTCCACCAGGGACCCGCCCCGCTTCAAGTCCTGGCAGCCGCCGCAGCGGGACCAGGACTCCGGCGCTGCGCGGCTTGACCATTGCTGGGATTTAACCTTTGTCAGAAGAGTTACCAGGTAAGCAAGACCTCCCTAGAACTCCCGGCCTGCACAAGGACGGTGTCCAGGAATTGACCGCTCTCTCTTGCGGAATTTTCCACCCGCGCAGACCCCCGGCGGACCCAGCCCCGCATCCGCGCTCACAGCCCTGCCTCCCGCCGCCCCTAAATCTTGTGGGCAAAACTCAAGACACCGTCTGAGCCCCCGCCCTGCAGCTGCGAAAGCCCCGAGCCCACCCCGGTCCCAGGGGCTTCGCTCGCCCTCCGTCGTCCCCCGCGCTGATCCCTGGTACCGACAGGACCACGGGGACGCCCCATGGCAGGTCCGCCTCTGAACCTCTCCAAGGGGACGGCCGTCCGTGTTGACCCGGTGCCAGCGCCCTGACCGGGCTGCGCGCACCCTTGCCCGCGAAGAGGAGGCTCTGCGGGGAGGGTCGCGGCGCGCTCGCTCAGGGCACGGGGAGCGGACCCTCAAGGGCCTGGAGGACTCAGGTCCGCAGCGAGCGGACCCGGGGTCTGGAGGGACCTCCGAAGCCTGGGGAGTTGGTTGCGCAATCCTGGCAGGATCCGGCCTCCTGCGGGCAGGCTGAGGGTGACTCCGGGAGGAAAGGTTCGAGCCCCAGTCGGCAGCGGCCGTCGGGCAGCTGGTTGCTGGCCGCCTGGATCGGAGGGCGACGCCGGCACGGAGGACGGTGCGGACCCCTAAGGGGGGCTGAGGACAAGGGGCATCACCCCGGTAGCTCCCGACCCCCCTGGAGTCCCTCGTCGTCAGAGATCTGAAACGAACTTCCCACTTTTTTTTTTTTTTTTTTTTTTTGACAGGCAGGAGTGGACAGTGAGAGAGACAGAGAGAGAAAGGTCTTCCTACTTTTGCTCTGGTGCCCTTTGGGTAGGGACGCCCGGCAGAGTGGTGGCCTTGGGTCCTAAGGGCGGGGCCGGGTGTCACTGGAAATGGATCTTGTGACTTATTTGTCTTTCCTCCCTGCCCCTTGAAGTGCTTTGAGGTCTTAGTTCGGGGCTCTTTAAATGCTCTTTTTTCTAAGATCTGTTAAGAGTTGACTGGCAAAGAAAGCAGTGTGTGAGCTGTCGCCTCGCCGGGTTAAGTGCTTACTGGTGACATGGAGCCACCAGTAGGAGCAGGGAGCGTGATGTTTTCCCCAGGAGTGCCTACAACCGCAGATACTAACAAACCCTATACCCGAGTAGTTGTCAACAAGTTCATGGCAAGTGGACATTATGAACAGACTCTTCATGGATTTCAAAATGCCCTGCACCATGAGATTTTGAAGTGCCTTTGTAGATCACCTTTTTGCTTATACACCCATACCAATGATAAAGTTTAAAACTAGAACATGCCAATATTAGTATTAAAACAATTATAGCAATGTACTGTAAAAAGAGTTATGTGAAAGCTATCTCTCTCTCCCTCAAAATATTTTATTGTGCTTTCACCTTTTACTTGAAGTAAGCCATTACTGACTTTTCTTTGAAATTCCTGAAGTGTGCCACCACAGCTACATTTGCACATTGTGGCCACTGTAAAATAAGGGTTACCTCAACAAAAGCATCGCAATGTTGTGACAATCTAGTGAATAACCAAGATCTCTAGTGACATTGGGTGCATAGCATATGTCACACAGGTATGCTAGACAAAGGGATGAGTCATCTCACGGAGCAGGATGGAATGAGATTTGATTCCACTACACAGAATGGTGTGAAAGTGGGAGTTTATGAACTGCTTATTTCTGTGTCTTCTATTTAAGATTTTTGGACTGAAGTTGACCACAAGTAACTAAACTTCAAACTGCAAAAGGGGGCCGGGACCGCAGCTCACTAGGCTAATCCTCCACCTAGCGGTGCCGACACACCAGGTTCTAGTCCCGGTCGGGGCGCCGGATTCTGTCCCGGTTGCCCCTCTTCCAGGCCAGCTCTCTGCTGTGGCCCGGGAGTGCAGTGGAGGATGGCCCAAGTGCTTGGGCCCTGCACCCCATGGGAGACCAGGAGAAGCACCCGGCTCCTGCCTTCGGATCAGCGCGGTGCACTGGACGCAGCACGCCAGTCGTGGCAGCCATTGGAGGGTGAACCAACGGCAAAAGGAAGACCTTTCTCTCTGTCTCTCTCTCACTCTCTCACTATCCACTCTGCCTGTCAAAAAAAAAAAAAAAAAAAAAGACCAATCACTGGGCTGGCATGGTGGCACAGCAGGTTAAGCCAAGCGCCATGTAGGAGCCACCCAGTGATTGCTCTTAAGAAAACAAACAAACAAACAAAAAAACTGCAAAAGGGGAACATGTGGAAAATACTGCAGTTAGAACTATGAGCTTGTCTGAGGAGGGGCTAGTTCAAGGAAAGCATCTAGGTTGGAAAACAGTAAAGGTTACATTAAATTACAAGGGCAGGTCACATTACGGAGGATCTAGAACATTCTTGTGAAAAATCACAGAGATCCACTGAAATTCATGAACGGTTTCTGAGGAGAGTTAAGTGGTAAAATCTGTGGCTTAAGATCAGAAATTTATGGCAGTGTTTATTATTCTCTCAGGAACATGAATGAAGTTACTCCAAAAGGATCTCCAATTCAAGAATAGGAGGAAAACAGTGATTTCTTTATTGTAGTTTTTCTCTAAGATTTTAATCTGGTAAAGGGCATTCTGATTCTCCTCAAGGAAGATGCAGGATTTTCTAAATTCCTAGGAAGACAGGCATGAGATAAGTATTCCACATGTCATTGGACCAATCCAAGTCTAAGAAGCTGAGAGATGTAAGAAATGCCTTGTCGTCTATTTTGAAATTGCTCACCTAACTTCTGATTTGATCCTCTATTCCCAGATGGCAGAAATACAAGGATTTATCCATTTCCCCGATAGATGTGTCTGTGTTCTGGGGTCCTCCGGTGCCAAGGAGTTAGGGCGCTGGAGAAGGGTGTGGTGTCACTCACCTGGCTCTCCGTGCCAGCTCTGCTAAGATGTTCTCCTTGCTCTCTGGTCCAGAGGAGTCGGCCCGTGCAGCTGCTGCTGAGACATAAATTGCTATGCCAAGTGGATTTATTTGTTACCACTACAGAATAATGGGGTCAATGCAAACAATTCTGCTGACCTATTCTATGTTGAGGGACAAGAAACTCTATGGAAATGTACAGGGCTCCATCTGTCTCAGGTCATTGAGCAATCTCTTCTGTGAAACCTTCTTTTTGGATTCCATTCAGGGAAGGGGACTCATTTCCCATAACATCAACAGGTCTGCATCTTCCCAGGAGTTCCCCACCTAAATTCTTAAGGCACCGATTCTTTCTGCCTTCCTAGGGACTCAATGTAACACAGCATTCCTTCTTCCTCATACTCTGAGGCGATGACCTAGCTATCTAAAGGGCAGAAAGGTGGAGGGAAGAAACACCGGAGGGGAGAAAACCCTGTTTTTATTTCAAAGGTATTTCCCAGCAGTCTTGGAAAGCCCTTTAGAAAATGCTGGTCTAAAAAACAGACGGTTGTGGGTGGGGTTTGGACAAGGCGTTAAGTTGGAGCTTCAATGCCCACATCCCTTACTGGAGTGCCTGGTTCAACTCTCAGGTACTTCCGATCCGGCTTCCTGTTAATGCACACCCTAGCAGGCAGCAGAGAATGGCTCAACGACTTTGGTTCTGTCACCCATGTGGGAGACTGGGATTGACTTCCAGACTCAGGCGATATGAAGTGTTAAAAACGGATGAAGAAAAGATTGTGGTATTGATGCTGCCTTGACTGTTGACTATGTGTTGCACACTACAGGAACAGCCGTCCATCATAATGAATGCCCTCTTAAGAGCATGTCTCGTGGCCCCTTCTCCAATCCCATCCTCCACTGAACCTGAGCTTGACCATGTGCCTCTGGGCTTTGACCAGTGTGGGATTAGCAACTGTGAAACACATAGAGGTTTGTTTGGTATCTCTTGTGGCTAGAAGTTCTTTCTTGTGCATATACAAAAGGTGGGACTTGCCTGTTGAAAGCATAGAGACCAACAAAAAGACAGCACAAGTTGAAAAACCAGTAGGGTATCCCCAGTGGCACTGTCAGTTGACAGCAAGTCTGTGAGTGACCCAAATGAGACCAGAATGCCCCAGCTAGCCTCTAGCAAAGCCCTAATAAGGAGTAAGTGACATAGTTACTGAAGCTAGTAAGTTACGTAGCAGTTTTAGCTTTTATTTCATGAAAAATAAAAGCAATAGAATGAAACACAGAATTTCATAGAAAGATAGTCTGATACATATGTCAGATTCTAAGGGGAGAGAATCTGAAAGAAAATTGACTTTTTTGCTTGGCACACTTGGTATAATGGTGAGTTATTTTTTTAAGCAGGGTTTGTCATGCCCTGGACTCCAAATTAGACCGTGTCTCAGGATGTCTCAGACGCTGGCAGCATTCTGTTTGTTATCAGACAGTTAAATTACTACAAGCACCTGCAGCTTCTTGGTAATTGTCCTGACTCATTTGGCACTCCCCTATGGAAGAGATGGCATCTTCTCCACAAGTTTTCCAACAGCTTTCAATAAGAAACTGTACAAGGGAACTCTGAAACACATGGGCAGAAAGGTGATGTACTTTTACATTTGGCATCATTATACATGACATTTCTTAAATGAATATTGGACCCAATCAAAATGTAGGACCAACTTTCTCTGAGAACTGATGGTAGTGTCACAGTTTTGGGCACAGATCTTTCAATACTTCTAATCAGTGGCTTATCATTATCATTTGTGGCCTACACTAGTTCTTATTTTCATTTAATCTTCCTAGAATGTTTGGGTTAAGATGTACTCATTTTAAAATTTGTAAAGCATCCAATAGGCACAAACTAGGAAAATACCTCTTCCATGAAGTAATCTAAACTCGAGAAGCAGATTCTTGGTGGGTTCTTACATGATAGGAAGCAGGTGGAGAGAAAATGTCTGCTTTTGTAATTGAAGTCCCTCCTTGTGCACTGCCTGCCTTGCCTCACCCTTGCATTCTGGATGAGGTTGGGGAAGTGCTGAGGTCCTGCTGGACATTTTGTGACTCTATTAGGATATTCTGGAATTTTCATATCCCACCAGCAGAGATGAAGTAGGTTCCAGGCAGATCTCTGCATGAGTTACAACTGGCAGAGGAAGTCAATGTGTGTTACCATGCTGCCCAAGCCAACAGGGCAGTATCACCCAACTTTTCTGGTCACCATAGCTACTACCACTGCCTAGAGGAGGAAACTGTGGCCAATGGTTGCACAGCCCTCAATGTTGAAAGCCAAAGTTGAACCTTGCTTTGTCCAACCCCAACACAAAGGTTCATTTCCGTCACATCACATGACGTTTTTCTTTCTCTCTTATATAGTCAATCTGGTGTTCTGACTCTTGGATGGGAAAGAAGTAATTCATCTCACTGAAGTTCCTGCTTAATATACCACTTTCCCTTACCTACCAGGAAGGGTAAATGACCTGCTCCTCCAGGGCAGTAATTAGCGGGTGCACTGAAAAATGCTCTATAAGAATTAATATACTGAATTTCAGATTCAAAGTGAAAACAATGCTCCCAAGGGTTATAAAAATGAGACGTCTCATTACCTTTTTCTTCAATTCCTTTTCTAGTTCTGAGCTTCTGGAAAGAGGTGGCCCAGAGCAGGTTAAAAATGTCATTTGGTTGAATGAGGCATGATGAGTGATCTTGTATCTTGTATAAGGATCCAAACAGGTAATAGAGGACAACCATATTGGCTTTGGCAGATGATGTAAAAGCCTAAACACAGAAGAATGTATGCTTAAAGCAAGACATTTAACTCAGGAAGTTACACATCCAGAGAAAAAGAACAGAGGGTAGTGTCTACCCCTGGTATCATCCAATGAAAACACTGAGGAATATACCTATATGTCTTCAAAATACTGTCTATAATGTTTCCCTGAAACCACAATACCATGTTTTAAATTGTACAACTATTATTAATACCTCATTTGACATAAGTATATTTAAAACATGTGTCACATTCCACGATGTGATCAACTCAAAGATTACAGAGGAATGTAGATGGAAATTAAATATGAAAGACTCCTTTGGCTTTTGAGGTTGTAGCACAAGAATGCTACTTTGGGACAAAAGCTCAAAGGTTCACTTAAGAGACTCATTTCAGGTATGAATTCATACAAACATTTTTCATTGAGTTCAATTCCTGAACCACTTATAGACTTCTCTGGTTGGCTAACTCCTTGACAATCTTATGCAAAGACCACAGGTGAGGGGTCCGCTAGTATCGGTCCTGAACCAGTGGATTTTCTCCTGTATCAGTGTCTTATATTCAAGACATTTACAAAGGTCTAGGGTTATATATTCATCATTTTGGGAGAGGAACAAGAACTAAAGGACAGTGAGAAGGCCTATGTTCCTTTCTAGACCGGCCTCCAGGTGTGTGACAAAATGGAGTGCTTTGACATAGGTCATTATTTTAGTGAGTAAAATGATAAAATAAAGCCAATATTTTTCTAGAATATACTGGTTTATTTTAAGGCTTTCACAGAGTAGAATAATTATTGTATCTTCACCTCTGAATCAAGTTTGTCTTGTCCTCATCTTTTAGTCCATTTAGAAGTCAAGGCCTGAGGTGGGAGCAAGTTCCTCTCTACTCTCACTACTGTGGGTACTGTGTTAAATGGGGTCACTGTTAACAAAAAATACCAAAGGTGGTAAAAGGGAAAGAAGGCAAAACTGTGGGAATCCTTCCTGAACCAATTTGAAACTGAAGGTGTTAAGAGACAGGAGAGGGAGTGATGAAGTGAACGGATGTTTGGATGGCACCATTTGAGCATTTAGTTGTTGATTCATTAAAAGGCAAATTTTTTGCTGCCTGTGGCAAACATCTGTAACAGCTTCCAAAACCCTAACCAGAGTTTTCTTTTGGAAAGTCGGCTTTTGTAAGTGTGAAAGCATCAGATGCAGGATTTTCATTTGGGTCAACATTCTGTATGCAGAAGGGTATCCTTCGACACTGTTTTTCAATAAAGTTATTCATGATATTATTGTTTTATACGGTGTATTCAGGCTGAAGGAGAATAGGGTCATCTGTGATGATCAAAGAAAGCATGTGGAACTGATGGGGTTTGGAACAGGCAATGGAGTATACTTTCCATGTGCACATTGTGACATGTGTTCAGAATCTCCATTCTTGAAGCTTATTGTTGTTCTTGGGCAATCCTGGTGAAGGAGACTCACCACAGAGCTTCCATGTTGTGCATGGATTATGCTAGAACTCTCCTTTACCTTTAAGATGGCTGCTACCACCAAAGTGGATTGGTTCTTCCAGTCCACTTTGTGTCCAGAATTTAGTTTCTCTTTTAGGACTTTACATGATTTTAGATAGGCACATGCCCAGAAGATGCCTTTTGTGAATGGACCTTTTTGATTGATAAAAGAAAGTGTATCATATGGGCCAAATAAAATTACATGAAACTTAGCTAGAGTACGCCAGATTACAGACCTGGAAAGAAAAGAGTGAAATCAACTTTGATGATTTAATTTTGGTATCTCTGAATACATTTTGTACCCGAGGGAATGAACCTCTTCAACACTTGATTTAACAGCATCGTCCTATCCAGTGGACTTGTAAATTCCAAATTCTCTGTTTCAAGGACTCTGTAGAATCACCCTCTTGTGAGGTGTCATTCTGTGCTCATTTTTTTCCAAATATTGATGATTTTCCTCCAGTGTGCACATCTTTTTGCTAGACTCATTTTCTCTTTGTTTATTCCCCTTCCAGTGACTACATACCCTGAGGCTACCTCCAAAAGTTCCAATTCTCTTTTAAAACTGAGATAAAACCTGTTGCCTCTTAAACTTTCTCTGGTTGCATTTCCTTCTCAACAGTCTTTCATTTCCTATTACTCTGTCTTTGTATCTAGTGCAGAAAGAGAATACATTACACAGGTATTCTAAAGCATTCTCAATTATTCCCACAGTGACCTTGGAAATATAAATAATTTTACTAAAGCTTTTCTTAATCCTACTGGAGAGGTAAGGATGAACTCTCTCATAGACTCCCCTAAAGTTTACTGTGAAAGATGGAATGTCTACTCTGATATCTACTAGGTGTCTAACATGACACATTTCTTCACATCTAGCATAAAATCCCTCAACTTTAGTGGAGAGCCAGCAGAAATACTGGACACTTCATAAACATTACTACTGACAATTGAATACACTAATTTTGAATGACATAGGCAATTGTCTGTAGGGTTTATTTGGCAAATTCTGTTAGCATGGAAAAATGAACATATGTCACAGGATGAACTTTTATGTCAAAGCACTTGAGATACAAAAGAAAAAATGAGAGTTATGTTGAGGTTTAGAAGTGAGTAGAGTAAATGAAGAGGAAATAAAAGGAGCCTTCAGATGAGTCAAAGGTTCAATAAGAGCTGAGGAGATTGAGGGGGAGGAGCTTACAGAGAATCAGACACACAGAACCCATTCTGATTTGTCTGAGCAAGTGGTGTATGGGGGTCTTTGATAAACCTAGTAAAATACAGTAGAGGATTTTTTTGTCTTATTGTGCTTGTCTTATGAGTCTACAATACATAAATCAGACTTTTAATCTTGCATTCACAGTAACAAAACTTCTCAGACAAAAGCCAGCAGCTACCCAATGACTTTGCCATTTGTAGAGAGACTGGGTTGAGAAGGCTCAACCCTTCCCACATGTTCTCACCAAAGGTGGGCTATAGAAGACCAAAGTTAACACCTACTAAAGAGATAAGAGAGGTTGTCATTCTCACAGATATCTTGGAGGAGAAATCCAAAGAGTTGTCCTTGCTGAGGTGTGAGCAGAGCATGATCTTAGAGTAGGCTGGTCCAGCTCCTGTTAGTATCCTGCTGAAACAGCTGGCTTGTAAGAGAACATCCTCTTTGAACTGGACTCTGGTGGGGAATCTGAGGAAGATGTGATGTGAAATTATTTTACTATTTCTAAGCAATAGCAGGTTTGTGAAAAGGGCTAGAAAGAAAGGCATTTGTTGTGTAGAAAAGCCTGTATTTATAAATTAACTCCTGGGGTCCAAGTATTCTGGGTGAATGTGCTCTTCTCAAACTCCCACGAACTGGTAGTGAAATCTGAGCTACAAAGTCTCAGCACCAATTCTTCTAGTGGGAATATCACCTATACTGTGCTAGCCACAGTCTGTTGCACTGTGTCATCAGGAACTTAGCATTTAGAGGTGCAAAGTACCTGATGCTAAGTTAAACCAGTGAGCTCAAGAGTTAGAGATCTCATTTGAAAAGTGTAAAAGCATTGAATATCCACATCAAGTTGAAAGTGACCATCCTCTTTCATGTTAAGTCTCCTCCCACTCTGAGATTTCCCGTTTGACATTTGGAATGCTTGACCACTGCCACTTAAAACTCATTATAAGAATTTGCCTAACCTGACACAAACTGCCTGAGCCCATTCCTTAGCCATTCTCTGGCCCCCTGAGTATGGAGGGCTGGCAACCTCAAGGAACTCCATGGTGGACCCATTTTCAGTTTCTTCAGCTGGTGTTCCTGGTTGTGTGGGATGATCCTCTATGGCTTTGTTCTTAGTGACAACTGGCCAGGAATACCAGAATCATTTTTAACTACTCATCAGCCCCTGCAAAATGAATGCTGACCAAGAATTGCTTCTCAAATAGAAGGTGGTCAGCAACAGACAGCTGAGTCCAAAGTTTCTACTGCTCAGCTATGCATCTCTTTTCAATAAGGTATGGTAACTTTTTTCTCAGATAACACCCATCTACCAAATGCTATGAAAGTCAACTGGGAAGCCCAGGTGCAGCCTGATAGACATGTTAGGTACACATCCACTTGGCACTTCAGGAGCATTGAGTGTATACACACAGGAGGATAATACTTATGGTGGTGAGTCAGAAATATCATATTGGGCTCCTGGCTTTTCCACTTCATGGCCAAGCTACTCAGAATTTTTTGATTTTCACTTTGCTCAATTTAACAAGAGTGTTGCTTCTCTGACCTCTTCTTTGTGCTGAGTAACATAACACTCCATTCAGTAGGAGCCCTGCTTCCTAGAAGCCCTGACCAACCTCATTTTATTCCTCTCTTATTTGGTCTAAGGCAGTCTAAAGCATGATTGCCCTCCCCCTAAAGCAGATTATACCTCAATTCTCTATTCAGTGACATGATCTTTAGAAGATACGCATTCATTAAGCAATGCCAGGGGTACACAGAATTCATGTCAACTATTTTCAAAGTAAGAAAGCAAATGCATCCTTAAATCCAGAATCCTATTCCTGTAGCTCAATATGTGCAAACATTTGTTGAAGTTACACATTAATGTATAGCTTGTTTGGTTTACTGCAACTGAGATTCCTTAGGGACAAACAGTTGGTCCATAATCAAGCTGTGATTTGATTACAGGGCCAAGAATAGCTAAGGTATGAGCAGAAGAACAGTAAAGCTCAGCCTGCACCAAGGAACTAATGGAGTCAGCAGCAAATAAATGATTATATAAACATATATATCATAAAATCACTGGTACTGCATTCCTAGAAATATATACAAATCATACAACAATATATATCATACAGTGATAATGGAAAGATGGAATAGGTATTTGTTGAAAGATTTTCTCAAATGTGTTTGAAAAGTTGCAAAATTTGTAAAATTGCAATCAAATCATAACTTTATTTTCTTGCAAAACATTTTATAATCATTCATAAATTTTTCATGAAATTCATTTCCTGAACTTTGGTACACCACAATAAAATTAACTTGTTATATCTCAACAGGATACTTTAGACACATGGAAGAATAATAAGACAGCCTTATTGTGCTAGGATTTATGTGACAACTAACACCAACTTTATGTTGATGCATGAATGGAAAAATGGTGAATTCATTGATGCTTTATGGAAACATGTTGGTGACAGTGCCCCAAAGAAATCACACATACAGATGGATAACTCATTCTGTGAAGGGAAAGGATGATGAAGTCAAAGCCTGCAGTGGCAGAACCTCCACATAAATTAGAAAAAAAAATGAATCTTCCTCATGCCCGAATGGGAGAGAACTACCAATAAACAGCAGAAAACACAAAAACCCATAGAATCAAGGAAGGTTTGACTTTCACAACAATGCCTGAAATGTTATCAACTAAACAAATGATCTAAAAACATGACTAAAATTGTTTTTCCTTAGTATAAGAGATACATGGTCACACTCATAATAGAAATTCAGAGATTACTGAACAGAATGCGAGGACTTGATTCAAACTCAGAGAAAGCCTCCAAATGTTTTAGAAAAATAGTATTCAGCAAAACAATAAAAAAGGTGACAACACTCAGTGTTGCATAGTGGAATAAATATAAAAACAGGAAGAAAATACTTTGTCTAATTCAGTGATTCACAGCAAATACTTCAAGTGAAGTTATTAAATGCAAGTAAACATTTTTGAAAAGTCATTCTTAATGTGAGGTTAAAGAAGGTATAGGGAAAACAAAACTCCCAAGGAATTATGCAGTTTTAATCTTCAGCAACTCAAATAATATAAAAGAGGTGGGAAGCCACATACCAGAGGTGATCTTCACATCTCATATTTCAGAATTTTTATCATTCACAACAGTTGCTTTTCCAACATATCCTACAGGCAACAGGCCTCTCAAGGCCTTGGATTCCAGAAGGGTGTTTGCAGCCTCTGTTGAAGGAAAAACCAAAAATATCTCAGTGTTAATATTTTCAGATCAGGACGATTCCCAACCTTTCATACATTTTCAAAATCAATATCTGATATCAACCCACCATGTATTTTCCTGAGCCTCCTGAAACATCAGGGAGAAAAGACAAAGTGGAATTATGAAAGACCTAGGGACAAATTAAAAATGTTTTGGGCAAAGTGAACTCATTTTTGCCATTGCATCTTTACATACTTTATTTTCATTGGTAATAAAACTATTGGATGAACTTTTTGAATGAATAAAGCTACTGGATGAACTTTTTGAAGTGTCCTTGGATATAGGAGATGGGAAAGGAAAGCTCACTTGGAAGGAGATGGTGTGACGGAAAGAGAACCTTCATTGTTGCAGTGTGACCCAGTGATAGAAAACATGAAGCAAAATGACTGTCTTCATTTAACAAAGAATTCAGTTCTTCCTGCATGGAAATCGAACATGTCAAGCAAAGTAGGAAAATCCATGAAAACAGTTTTGAAAAAGAAATTCCCAGAGTAAGGTTAAAGGAAGTGAAGGGAAAATAAAACTCCCAAACAGCTATGCAGATTCTAATCCTCAGTAACCCAGATAATATAGAAAGAAGAGGTCATTTTCCACTTGAGAACTTTGGTCAGTCACAACAACTGGAATTTTGCTGTTCCCAGCAGGAGGCAGGCCTGCCTGGACATGAGACTCCAGAAAGGTGTTTTATAAGGCTTTTAGGTTGAATGAAACACAAAACTTGTCTCAGTGTTAATATTTTCAGATACCGAGAGCTTCTGGTTTCTAGTATTGATACAAAACATTTTCTAAATCCATGCTTCATTTCCTCCCGCTATGTATTTTCCAGAGGTTTTCAGACATCATGTAGAAAAGTTCATGATGATCATATTTTGAAAAACCATGCACAGACTTCAAGCACTTGGGAAAACGTCACCTCATTCTTTCTATTGCATTTGCAATGTTTTATGATTATCTTTGAAAATGAGTTCTGCATGAACACTTTGGATAAAGGAAAGGAAAGGAAATATCCATCAAGAAGAGTTGGTAATTGAAAGTGCTCATTCAGTGTTCCACTGCAAATCAATGAGAAAAAAAAAAAAACATGAAATACAAAGCTTCGCTTAGTTTTAGTACTTCACAGACAATTGTCAACCAAAGAATTTCTAGACAGAATGAAGATTTCAAGCAAAGGTAGTAAACTCATGCAAACTGTTTTGAAAAAGTCATTGTGTGAAGTTAAGGGAAGTGTAGGAAAGCCAAAAGTCCCAAGGCATAAAGATTCTCTTCTTCAAGAACTCAGAAAAAAGAGATGGGTATATGCATACCACCACTGAGCTTCCCATCATCTTCTCCTTGAGAATTTTAGCCAGTCACAACAATTGTCTTTTCAGCATTTCTGGAAGGCAGCAGATCTGCCTCGGCTCCTGATTCCAGAAAGGTGTTTGCAGCCTCCATTGAAGGAAAAGCAAAAAGTTGTCTTGCTGTTAAGATTTTTAGACACCTAACGAGTCCCAACTTCTCAAATTAGTACCAAATATTTTCAAAAACCCATGCCTCATTTGATCCTGCAAGGTATTTTCTGATCTTACTGAAAGATCAGTGCAAAAAGATGATGAAAATGGCATTATGAAAGAACTCTGGACAGATTAAAATCACTTGGGTCAAAGGGAACTCACATTTTCCATTGCATTGTGACACATTTTTACCTTTGAATACAACTTTTTTATAAACTACTTGAAATGTCCTTGGAAAGGAAAGGTCACAGGGAAGGAGCAGGAAATGTGGAAAGCAATCATTCAGTGTTCTACTGTGGACCAGTGATGGGAGACATGAAGCAAAATTGTTGTCTTTGTTTGACAGGAAATTCAGTTCTTCCTGCACAGACACTGAACACTTTAAAGCAAAGTTGGAAAACTCATGCCAACATTTTTTAAAAAGAAATTCTCAGTGTAAGGTTAAAGGGAGTCTGAGGAAAATGCAGCTCCCAAGCAGACATGCATATGCTAACAATGAGTGATTTTAAAATAAAGAACAGAGAGCTTGGTAGGTACTCATCAACACTGGGATTCCCCACATCTTTGGCCTAAGAATTCTGGTCAGTCATAAGGACTGGAATTTCTATGTTTCCAGCAGGTGGCAGGCCTGTCAAAGAAAAGCAAAAGCTGGTCTCAGAGTTAATACTTACAGAGATACCAAATTTCCTCAGTTTCTGATATTCGTACAAAATATTTTCCAAATCCATGTTTCATTTCTTCCCACTGTGTAGTTTGCCAAGTTTTTGAGACCTCGTGAAGAAAAAGTGTATGAAAATCATTGTGACAAAGCAATGAAGACTTCAAAAGTTTTTGCTCAAAGGCAACTCATCCTTTCCATTGCATTTGCAATGCTTTATGCATATCTTTGAGTATGACTTTTGCATTAACACGTTGATGTCTCCTTGGATAAAGAAGAAAGGCAGGGAAATATCATATGGGAGGAGCTGGTAAATGAAAGTGCACATTCAGTGTTCCACTATCTCAAGGGCAATCCAAACTGAGGAATTCACTTCTTGCTGAACAGAATGTGAAGATTTCAAGCAATGGTAGTAAACTCATGCAAACTGTTTTGAAAAAGTCATTGTTGGTGTGAAGTTAAGGGAAATGTAGGAAAGCTGAAAGTCCCAAGGAATAAAGAAGATTCTCATCTTCAGGAACTCAGAAAATCTAGAATTAAGAGATGGTTGTATGCATGCCACCAATGAACTTCCCATCATCTTCTTGAGAATTTTAGTCAGTCACAATAATTGTCTTCTCAGCATTTCTGGAAGGCAGCAGATCTGCAAGGGCCTGTGATTCCAGAGAGGTGTTTGCAACCTCCACTGAGTTGTCTTACTGTTAAGATTTTCAGACACCTGATGATACCCAACTTAACTGAATTAGTACAAACCATTTTCAAACTCCATTTTGCATTTCCTCCCACCATCTATTTTCTGAGTTTCCTGAAACATTAGTGAGAAATGACGAAGAAAATAGAATTATGAAAGAACTATGGGCAGATTAAAAAGGTTTTTGGAAAAAGTGAACTCATCCTTGTCATTACATCCTTACGTATTTTTATCTTTGACTATAACTGTTGCATTAACTCTGTAAAGTGTTTGGGCAAAGGTGAAGGGAAAGTAAAGATCAGACGGAGTAGCTGGAAATGTGGAAAGCAATCTTTCAGTGTTCCACTATGAACCAATGATAGAAAACATGAAGCAAAACCATTGCATTCATTTAATAGGGAATTCAGTTTTTATTAGACACAAACTGAAGCTTTCAGGTAAAGATGGTAATCTCATGAAAACAGTTTCGAGAAAGAAATTCTCAGTGTAAGGTTAAAGGAAGTGTTGAGAAAATGAAACTCTGAAGCAGCTATGCAGATCCTAATCTTCAGTAACTGAGATAATAAAAAACAAAGAGCTTGGTGAGCATTCAGCAACAGTGGGCTTCTCATCATCTTTCACGTGAGAATTTAGGTCAGTCACAACAATTGTAATTTTGATGTTCCCAGCAGGAGGCAGGCATGTCTGGGCCTGAGACTCCAGAAAAGTGTTTCAGGCTTTGTTGAAGGAAACACAAAACTTGTCTCAGTGTTAATATTTCCAGACGCTGAAAGCTTCTTGGTTTCTGATAACTGATACAAAACATTTTCTAAATCCATACTTCGCTTCTTCCCACTGTGTGTTTTTCTGGGTTTTTCAGACATCAGGTAGAGAAGTCTATGAAGAACATATTGTGACAAACCACACACAGACTTCAAAAGCTTTGGGACAAAGTCAATTCATGCTTTCCATTGCATTTGTAATGCTTTATGATTATCTTTGGACACAACTTTTGCATGATCACTTTGAAGTCTTGGATAAAGGGGAAAGGCAGAGAAATACCAATCAGGAGGAACTGGCAATTAAAAGTGCTCACTTAGTGTTCCACTGTGAGTCAATGAGAGAAAAACATGACAGGGAAAGTGTCTCTTGGTGACAATTCTAAACCAAGGAATTTACTTCTTTTTGGACAAAAAGTGAAGCTATTAAGAAAATGTATAAACTCATGGAAACCTTTTTGAAAAAGGCTCACGTGAGGTTAAGGGAAGTGTAGGAAAACCAAATTTTCCAAAGAATAAATTCTTATCTTCAGGGACTCAGGAAATGTGGACTAAAGAGCTGGGTGAACCCATATTAACAGCGAGACCTCCCTTCATCTTCTTCTACTTGAGAACTCTGGTGAGTCACAACAACAGTGTTTTCAATATTTCCAAAGTCAGAGGTCTGCTAGGGCTTGAGATTCCAGAAAGATGTCTGCAGGCTGCGCTCAAGGAAAAGCAAAAAGTTTTCTTATTGTTAAGATTTTCAGATACCACAAGATTCCCAAGTTCTCACATTGGTACAAAACATTTTCAAAACCCATGCTTCATTCCCCTCCTCCACTGTGTATTTTCTGAATTTTCTAGAACATTAGTGAAAAAAGGACTATGAAATGGAATTATGAAAGAACTATGGACAGATTAAAGACTTGGAGCAAGTGGAACTCATGTTTGCTATTTTTATCTTTGAATAAAGCTTTTGCATGAACTTTTTGATGTGTACTTGGATAAAGGCAAAGGGAAAGATCACATAGAAGAAATTGGAAACATGGGAAGCCCTCATTCAGAGTTCAACTGTGAACCAATTATAGAGAACATGAAACAAAGCAGCTGTTTTCATATACCAGGAAAAGTTCTTCCAGGACAGAAATAAGATTTCAAGCAAAGTTGGAAAACTCACACAAGCATTTTTGAAAATGAAATTCTCAGTGTAAAGTTAAAGGAAGTGTAGATAAAATGAAACTTCCAAGTTGTGCAGATCAATAATCTTGTTGGGCACATGCCAACAGTGGGCTTCCCATCATCTTCCACTTGAGAATTTTGGTCAGTCACAACAATTGGAGTTTCAGTATTTCCAACAGATGGCAGATCTTTCATAGCTGAGATTCCAGATAGGTGTTTGCAGGCCCAGGTACAGGAAAAGCAAAAAGTTGTCTCAGTGTGAATATTTTCAGATATTGAAAGTTTCTAAGTTTCTGATATCAGTACAAAACATTTTATAAATTCATGCATCATTTCCAACCACTATGTGTTTTCTTGAGTTTTTGAGACATCATGAATAAAATTATATTGTGACAAAGTTTGGAGAGACTGAAAAAGTTTTTAGAAAAATTCAATGCATCCTTTCCATTGCATTTGCAATGCTTTATGCTTATCTTTGAATATAAGTTTTGCATGAACACTTATAACTCCCTGGATACAGGAGAAAGAAAGGGAGAGATCCAATAGCAAGAGCTGCTAATTAAAAATGCTCAGTTCATGTTCTACTGCAAATCAATGATAAAAACATGAAATGAAAAGATTCTCTTAGTTTAGCTGGCTCATGAGCAATCCTAAATCAAGGAAATCAGTTATTCCTAGACAGACTTTGAAGATTTTTCACAAAAAAATTAGTCAACTCATGCAAATGTTTTTGAAAAAGTCATTCTTCATCTAAAGTTAAAGGAAGTGTTGGAAAAATAAATGTTCTTTTAAAGCTCTCATTTATAAATGAAGGCAAAATAAAAATTTTCCATGGAAAACTAAAAAAAGCATTTGTCATGACCTGGATAGCCTTACAAATGACACTTAAGGATGTACTACACATAGAAACAGAGAAAGGTAATCAGCATCATGAAAGAACAAGAAAGCAGAAAAACTCCTATCATTAGAGCAAATAAAATCCAAAACAAACAATATGGATATTTATGGAAAGATGGCAGGACCAATTCATTATCAATAACAGTCTTGAATGTAAATGCACTAAATTCTCTAATTAAAAGATGCCGACTGGCTGAATATATCAAAAACCAAAACCCATCTATATGCTGCCTACAAGAAACACACGTCACCAATAAAAGTACACACAGAGTGAAAGCGAAAGGATAGTAAAGATATTCCGTGCAAATGGAAATAAAAAATGAGCAGGAGTAGCAAAACTCACATCAGACAAAAGAAACTTTAAGGCCAAAACTGTTAGAGAGACAAAGAAGGTCATTATGTAACAATTAAGGGATCAATTCAACAGGAAGATTTCACTACAGAAAATGTAAATGCACCCAATACTAGAGCATCCAGCTTATTAAAACAAATGATAATAGATCTAAAGAGAGACATAAACTCCATTACAATAATAATGAGAGACTTAAGCACCCCTCTTTCCTCAATGCAGCCAAAAAAATCTACAAAGAAACAACAAAGCTAATCTACACCGTGGACCACATAAATCTAAATCATAGCTACCAAACATTTCATCTCACAGCTGCAGAATACATATTCTTTTCAACATTCTTTTCATCAACACAGGGAAAATTCTCTAAGGACAAACCAATTACTAAGCCATAAAATAAGTCTCAGCAAATTAAAAAAAAAAAAAAAAGCTGAAATCAGCATATGTCTTTTCTGACCACAATGGGATGAAGCTGGAAATTAACAACATGAGAAACTCTAGAAAATGTACAAACACATGGAAACTGAACAACATTCTCCTGAATGAACAGTGGGTCAAATAAGAAATCAAAAGGGAAATAAAAAATTCCTTGAAACAAATGAAAGTGACAGCACAATACATCAAAACTTATGGAATACAGCTAAAGCAGTGTTAAGAGGAAGGTTTCTACTAATTAGTGCCTACAACAACAAATTGAAAACGTATCAAATAAATGATCTAACACATCTCAAAGACCTAGAAAAACAGAAACAAACCAAATTAAAAATTAGGAGGAAAGAAATAATAAAAAAGAAAAGAAACAAAATTGAAATTAAAAAACATACAAAGGATTAGTGAAATGAAGAGTAAGTTTTCTGAAAAAAACAATTGATAAACCATTGGCTCAACTAACCAAATTAACAAAATGAGTTGAAAAGGAGATATTACAACTGATACTACAGAAATAAAAAGAATATCAGGAATTATTACAACCAGCAATGATACAACAAATTGGAAAATCTAGAAAAATGGGTAGATTTCTGAACATATACAGTTTACCAAAATTGAGGCATGGAGACATAGAAAACCTGAATAGACCAATAATTAAGGCAAGACTGAACCAGTAATAAAGAGCCTCCCAACAAAGAAAAACACAGAGCTGGATGGCTTCACCACTGACTTTTATCAAACTTTTTATTTTAAGATTTTATTTTTTTGAGAGATAGAGTTAGAGACAGAGAGACAGAGAGACAGAGAGAAAGGTCTTCCATCTGCTGCTTCACTCCCTAAATAACCACAATGGCCGGAGCTGTGCCCATCTGAAGCCAGGAGCCAGGAACTTTTATTGGATCTCTCAAGTGGGTGCAGGAGCCCAAGCACTCAGACCATCTTCTCCTGCATTCCCAGGCCATAGCAGAGAGCTGGATAGGAAATGGAGCAGCAGGGACATAAACCTGTGCCCCTATGGGATGCTGGTGCAGCAGGCAGAGGCCCAGCCCACTATAATGCAGCATGGGCCCCTCTACCAAACTTTTAAAGAATAATTAATTCCAATTTTCCTAAATCTATTTAAAACAATTGAATTGGATGAAATCTCCCAAACTCTGTGGGGCCAGCATTACCTTAATTCCAAAACCACAAAAAGATACCACAAAAAAAGAGAACTGTAAACAAATATCCCTGATGAACATAGATGCAAAACTCCTCAACAAAATACAAGCCAGTCAAATCCAACACACATCAAAAAGATCATCCTCCCAGACCAAGTGGGATTTATCCCAGGATGCAGGGATGGTTCAGCATACACAATCAATAAACATGGTACATCACAATAACAAAATTAAGAACAAAAAACATATGATCATCTCAATAGATGGAGAAAGCATTTGAGAAAACACAACATCCTTTCATTATAAAAAACCTCTTAAAAATTGGGTATAGAAGGAACATACCTCAATACAAGGCAATTTATGACAAACCCACACCAGCATTATAGTGAATGGGGAAAAGTCTGAAGCATTTCCACTAAGATCTGGAGCCAGACAAGGATGTCCACTCTCACCATCAGTATTCAATATAGTTCTAGAAGATTTAGCCAGAGCCATCAGGCAAGAAAAAAATCAAAAGGAGATGAATTGTAAAGAAGGGGGTCAACTGTCCTTGTTTGCAGATGACATGATCTTTTATATAGGGACACCAAAGTACTAAGAGACTATTGAAATTCATAGAAAAAGTTGGAAAATTTGCAGGATACACAGCACACAAAAATCAGTAGCATTCATGTATACTAACAGTGCTCTGAGTAAGAAAGACAAGATCAGTCTTATTCACAATAGCTACAAAAAACTTAAATACCTTGGGATAAATTTGATCAAATATCTGAAAGACCACTACATGAAAACTACAAAACATTAACAAAAGAAAAAGATGAAAAAAAAAATGGAAAAACCTTTCATGTTTTAGATTAGAAGAATTCATATAATCAAAATGTCCATACTACCCAATGCAATTTATAGATTCAATGTGATCCCAATCAAAATACCAAGGACATTATTCTCAGATTTGTAAAATTCATAGGGAAACACAAGGGATCCCAAATAGACAAAACAATCTTAAGCAATAAAAACAATGCCAGAAGCATCTCAATACCAGATTTCAAGAGATAACTGTAATCAAAACAGCATGGTAATGGCAGAAAAAGACATGTGGACCAATGGAATAGAACAGAAACTCCAGAAATTAACGTATCTATAATCAATGGGCTAAAATCACTCCCTGGAGAAAAGAAAGCCTCTTCAACAATCTGCTTTTGAAAAATTGGATCTCTGCATGCAGAATTAAGAAACATGATCCCTATCTTATACCTTATAGAAAAATCATGGACCTAAAACTATGACCTGATATCATCAAATTCTAGAGGAGAACATTTGGGATACTCTGAAAAACATTAATATATGCAAAGACTTCTTGGAAAAGACCCCAGAAGTACAGACAATGAATTTAAAAATAGACAGACGGGAGTACATTAAGCTGAGAAGCTTCTGCACTGCAAAGGAACCACTCACCCAAGTGAAGAGGCAACTTACAGATTGGGAGAAAATATTTGCAAGCTATGCAACGGATAAAGGGTTAACGCCCAGGATCTATAAGCAGCTCAAGAAACTCGACCACCACAAAACAATCCAGAAAGAAATGAGCGAAGGACTTAATGGTCATTATTCAAAAGAGGAAATTAAAATACCCAACAGACACATGAAAAAAAGCTCAAGAGCACTAGCCATCAGGGAAATGCAAATGAAAACCACAATGAGGTAT